GTTTGTTAATCATTCACGCTGAAATGGATAGATTTGGATGAAGCTTAGTGCCCAGATATGTATACTTGAAGTTATATATGGGCTAGTGTTATTTAAATCCAATTCAAATCAAAATGTTTTATTGAGCATTAAATTATTACAATTTTTTACTGAACGTCATGAGTCTACTACCAGTTCGGAAAGAAGAAGCCTCACGCCGGAGGAGAACTGGCGAAAGAAACTCAACGGGACTAAAATATTGTTTTTTTTTACATTTTTTTTAATCCTTTTTTTTAATTTAAATTAATGAAAACCTTAATAATAAAATTTTCTACAAGAAGGTGCTGCCATTAAAGAGCAGAAGACATTTGACCACACGTTTGGCTCAGTGTGTAGTGACCCTACTTGCTGTGCCAGGGGTCGCGGGTTCGAGTCCCGCTGGGGGCATTCATTGTGTGATACACACTAATGTTTGTACTCCAGTCATGGGTGTTTATATTTATAATATGTATGTATTTAAAGTTATATATGTGTAATGTATTAACTATCTGGTATCCATAACACAAGCCTCGTAGCCTACCAGTGAACTAGATGGTGCTGTGTGTTAATATCCCAACATATTTAATTTTTTATATTTAATTTTGGGACGCATCCAAGCGAAGTGAGGGTAAGTCGCTAGTTTCCCAATTTTATAAGTATTCGTCATCTTTCCTTACTCAGACTTAAATGCAAGTTAATTTAAATTCAAAAAGCACAAGAATGATGGAATTCCGAAAAGTGTTTTTTCCCACACCAGCTTTGGATTACTTAGATTTACATGTATTTCTTAAATATCTTTATTCTAGTAAATTGTCGTTAACAATGAAATGATGTTGCATAGTGTTGCAACCATTGAAAATTTCGATAAAAAAAACAATAATTAAATAATAATTCATTTAGATATTACTAGACAACACAAATCTATCCCACGGGAATCGTACATGTTTCCGGGATAAAAGTAACCAAATCTATCGCACGGGAACCGTATATTTTTCCGGGATAAAAAGCAACCTATGTGCTTTTCCAGACTATAATCTATTTCTGTGCCAAATTTCATGCAGATTCATTCATCCGTTCTAAGAAGTAACAAACATCCATCCTCACAAACTTTATTGTATGGATAATGGATTACCAAAACTATAACTTTGTTTATGGTAAAAATATAAAAAACGTTTTTAATTTATATATACATATTTCTTTGCCTAGACTTATAATTAAAAAAACGTGTGCGTGTACTTATGTACGCACGTAAGAAGTTATACTTGTTTGGCGTAACAGAACAAAAATAGCTAAAGATTTCATCCCATACGACACAACTCTCTGCTTAAGAAGGGACTGCAGCTAACTTCATCATGCATCGTAAAAATTTTACTCTTATAATTTTTTCCAAACGTGCCAAAAGAAGTATGTATAACTTCAAAAACTCCTTTAGTACCAATTTTTTTTCTTTCTCAAACTTTTAATCCCTCCACGACCGCGGACACGCCGGCGTGTCGGTTAACAATAAATTTCTTAGAATTTTAATTGATTTCTTAGAAATTTACCTGGAGGAGTTCGAAACCCGGTTTACATCTATATATATAAAAGAAAGTCGTGTTAGTTACTTCGCTTATAACTCAAGAACGGCTGAACCGATTTAGCTGAAAATTGGCAGGGAGGTAGTTTAGAGCCAGGAGAAGGACATAGGATACTTTTTATCCCGTTCGACCGCGTTCCAATTTTTATGATATTTTAATTTTTGGATTTCTCTTAGTCCGGAATAGGTAAGTATTAAAACATATAATTAAAATGTGAGAAAGAAAGATTTTTTCTTTTTATATCTATTTAAAACGTACCTAGCGACGAACCCGAGCGAAGCGAGGGTGAGCCGCTAGTATTTACATATTTTAAGTGTTTATTAATTTCACTTGGAAATTATGTATCATAAATAGGAAATACGTTTTGCAATACATTAAATATATATTTGACTCGATTCGTATCTCCTTTATAATACAGTCGCTCAAAGCTCTAATCAGAAACTGTTGGAATAACTCCCTATCGACCATGTTACTCTGGTACTTTTAGTTCTCAACTATCCAATGTCAAATGGTCGTCATATATAATAGAGGACGCGAAACGTCCACCCTCAGCTAAGGCCAGAGGCCGAATGAGAGGACTGAGGAACAGTTCAGACTTCAGAGGAACGATTTAGGAGCGTCAGAACAAAAACCGATAAATCATATTTTGACATATTATTTTTATGATGCCAATTGGTTGTTCTATTACATATCTTGCTCTATGTTATGTATGGTTAATGTAATTATACCCGGATCTGAACACAAATCGATAATTACATCAATCGTACTAAACAACGATGGCGATCGGAACATATACCGATGAATCCCTAACATTTTTTTTATTGTTAACTCTTTTGATTCTGTCAAAAACCGATACATCTAATTTCCTACAGTGTTTTATCAAATCCTACAGTGTTTTATCAAAAACCGATAAATCCAGTTGGTATGGTCAAAAACCGATATATTCATTTTCTTTTTTTTTCATAACTCAACAGGTACCACAGTGACGAATGCAGAATTTAGGTTTCCAAACAGTGATTCTAATAAATTGATAGATTTCGTTTAACTCTAAATTAGAAAACCATGAGCTTGGCCATATTTTTACATTTTTCTTCAAAAAAACACAAATGTGATTAATCGGTTTTTGTTCCGACGCTCCTCGATTGTTATAGCTACTACCTACTCCTGATATCCTAGTCCTTTGTGTCTCAATTTGTTAAATGTTCGTTTAGGAACAGCTTTGAGCACGTCCTTCTCTGGCAAAGGCATTTCACATACTGATTACTGATATCTGGACATACTGATATCTGGACTCTGGAGCGTTGGATAGTGTTATTGACCGACTAAAAAATAAGGGGTTTTCGATTCCAATTGTATATTTTTAATATTTTACTTCATGTTTTTCATAAACTGTATGATTCTCAATGTTTTTACGATTTGTTCATATATACATACATACATACATACAAAACGATTCAAAAGCATTTTAAGTCATACGGAAATTTCCCAATTTTTCGGGAAACTTTTTAAAAAATATTTTCCTAAATACTTTATTTAGATTAATTTGTATTAGTATATTATATTGTATTGTATTAGTGATTGTTCACTAAGAAGTTTCCAAATCATGCGCTTATAAATGAACAGCGCTTTATTTTTATTTACATAATTATAGAAGACGTCTCTCAATTTAACTTGTCCATGGCTTCATACGTATCACATTTCTTCGTGCATTTTATTGCCATTGCTACAATATTTTGTGTATACTTAATTATTAAAATACTACTTATAAAGCACTAGGTACTTCTTAATGTATAGTCTATTCGGAGAAATATCAATTATTGCAGTAAATAAAGATGTTCAAAGGTCAATCATAGTCATATATCTTTTTTCTCGCACAAGGTATAAACAAGCTGTCTCTCTCTTTCTTTTTTTGTTTCCTAATAGAGCGTGGGAGATGCTACTTCTTTTTGTTCTTTACCCTTTGAGGATTTACTTTTCAGAAATTTAAAGCATTTGCAAAACCTGTGAAGATTATGGCTAAAGTATAATATACATACATAATATAATGATTATACAAATAAATTATTGTATTGATATATATATATAAAAGCAGTTTAAAATCAACTTTGATGATTTAAAATTTAGCTAGATACTAGCATTGCCCGCGGCTCCGCCCGCGTTCATATGACCAAAAACCAAATTCTTAGGTTTCACATATTAGTATACTCTTACATTGCAGTTTTTGTATTTTTTCTCAGAAATGAGATATTTTCCCGCGGTAAAAAGTATCCTATATGTTGATCCGGATAACTAGCTATCATCATACCAAATTTCATCAAAATCTGTCCAGTGGTTTTCTCGTGATGCGGTAACAGGCAGACAGACAGACAAAAATTCTAAAAACTATAGATTTGGACTCTGTTTCAATTATAATGTCTATTTTAATTAGATTTTCCCTAAAAAATATTTAATGTACAGATTCGACTTAATTTTATTATATGTTCATATTTAACAAGGGAGTCTAATAAAAACCACATTAAAAATAAAAACTTATACCTTATCTTAAGATGATAAATGTAGCCAAAACTAAATCCAATATACTTTACACAGACTTTAGTAGTTAATTCTTTTCATAAATAAAATAAAAGGTTAAATATATTATAACTTTTTGAAATCAAGTCACGAAGAGCAAGGTTGAGAAAAAGCTACTTGATTTACATTTTATTATACAAAATGCACACAATTTATTCGTAGTAGAATTAAATAATGTTTGTACGTGCTAGTCTAGATTATTTTTAACCGGCTTCAAAATATAAGATCTCCTTAATTTACAATCACAATTTTATTATTATTTCTTTTCTTTATTGCGAGCCTTCCAAATATTTACGATGAATGCAAAATAAGTAGGTAATAAATAGTTTAAATTCAAAATTTTAAGACCTTCACATAAAAATGCTTTCTTAAATAATAAAAAAATAATACATTTTGTTTTGTGTTCTGATTTATTCTTGTCTTTTTTGTTAATTTAGCAGTCAAACTTTTTATATACTAAATGGTAATCATAACAGATTCGTGATTTTAAATGATAGTATTAAAAGTCTAGGCTAGAATAAAAACTTTGTCATTCTAACATTACAACAATAGTTAATTATATAATTTATTTTTAAAATTAAAAATAGTTAATTATAAAAATCCACCGTTTTATAATTATACTAACTATCTAATATACTCTAAAAAGCTGTCGTCATTCACAGCTGGCAATAAAAAAGTTATATTCTATCTGTAAACGATAAAGTATATTTCATATGGCAATTCCGTCGCGTCTCTACGTCAAATGAACTAATTCATTGTTTATTGTGAATTTTTTGTAAATTATTTTATATTAATTTAATAAAACAATAGTATAAAAATAAAAAGTAAAGAAATATGGCTGAAGAAACAGACCTGTATTGTCGACTTTGTGCTGAACCTACGCCACTAGTTCAATTAATAACCCCGAAAGAAGAGGTAGCGTTTACATCGAAAATTATTATGAAGTTGTCTTGGATAAACATCGACATATCTTCTCCCAACGGTCTCCCTAACACGATATGTTTTTCTTGCTTTGATTTATTGGAAAGAACATGGTCGTTTCTGAATAACGTTAGGACATCGCAAGATAAATTAGCAGCTATATTTCTAAAAAGTACAAAACAGACCTCTAAGTCAACTGACAGCAAAACTAAGGAAAGCAATTCTAAAATACCTGGAAAACCTGTAGATGAGAACTGGGACGATTTCCAAAAACCAAAATTAGAAATAAAAATTGAGAATTATAATGAAAAAGTAACAGAAGTAACAAATCAACACTCCGTAATCATTTCTGACGATAATGGAGTTGTTAAAGCGGAAAACGATATCGACGATGACTTCTTGCAAGCGGATTCTAATAACGGCTTTTTAAGCTCCTCTGATAGTGATGTGCCATTAAAAAAAATAAAGAAAAAAAAGGTTAAAAGGAAACAAACCGCTAAGGATTCCATAACATTTGATGATAATTCAGAATTGCCAATAGATATACTCTCATTCAATATTACATGGGAAAATCAAACGTGCAGATGTGCTAAATGTGATGCTTTGTGCAAAAGTATTTTGTCATTACAGCTTCACTCCCTAGAAATACATAATCAGTGTTGCATGTTTAAATGTATTGATTGTGAAAAAATCCTCAATAGCTACAGAGCCTTCGTCAGACACTTACGATCACACAATAGCGCTTTAAGACATTGCTGTGAATATTGTAACAAAATATTCACGTTACCATCTGAAGTTAAAAATCATAAAGTAAAAGAACACAGAGATGTCTACAAAACAAAATGCACATATTGTGGTGCAAATTTTGAAACAGCAGAGGAGTTGGAAGAGCATAAAACAATGTTTTTTAAGGATTCGTCAAAGAAAATGAAAAAAATAAAAGTAAATGGGGACAGTAAGGAACACAAATGTGACCATTGCAACAAAGTGTTTAAAAGTCGACCAAATCTAGTTCAACATAAAGTTTTACATACAGAAAGAAGTCGTAACTTTGCATGTCATGTCTGCGGTAAGATGTTCTATACAAAAGGTAGTCTGGGTACGCACATGATAACTCATGATGAAATAAAACCATACAAGTGTGATCATTGCCCACTTGCTTTCCGAGCGAGAGGCAACTTAATATCTCATATGAGTCTACACTCTGGTTTGAAACCTTTTATATGTGAACAGTGTGGGAAGAGCTTTAGAGTCAAACGGCATTTAGTATCCCATGCTATAGTCCATACAGATTTAAGACCTTATGTATGTGAATATTGCAATAAAGCATTCCGATTTAAAACACGACTCAATCTTCACTTTCGACAACATACTGGAGTTAAACCCTATAAATGTATTTATTGTCAGAGAGATTTCACGAATGGTTCTAATTATAAAAAACATATGAGTAGACGACACGGCATTGATACATCATCTCGGATAAAAATAAATGTTGTGAATAAAAATGATTTAAATGAAAGTAGTGAAACTGCAGTATAAATATTAATAGTTATGGAGCAACAATAGTTTAAAAATATATTAATAATATGTTTTTTCTGTAAATAAATGTCAAACCTATTCTGATAATAGTGCAGTCAATATAAAAAATGAAAAGGCCTCTCGAGAGACCCCTAAGACTTGGCTTTAGGCTTAGAAATATTTATTGAATGGCACTATCCACTATGGTGTTTTAAAGTATATAACTGTAAAGAATTCTAAAGTTTGTTGAAGAAAGCAATTTTCTCACAATTAATTGTAGATATATATATTGATAATTGCAAGGAATAATGTTGCAACTTCATATAAAATCATTATTGAATAATGAGTTTAGTAGTGAGTTACAATAATATTCTTTGCACTTAAATATTGTGTATTCAGACCTTTTTAACGGCCCACTACTGGGCACGGGCCTCCCTTTATGAGGGAGATCCGGTCATAGTCGACCACGCTGGACAAGTGCAGGTTGGCACTTACATATTATGTATAACATATTATTATAAATTTTATTCCACTGCTGGACTTGTGGATGAATAGTTTTTAATTACATAGTTGTCAGCTTTAAATAATATTTTCTTAATGTCATTGTAATTATTAAAAAGTAGAACATATAAGTTAATGTATCTATTAGTTTAATAAGAGAAATTGTAAAGCCACAAAAATTTGGCACGAAAATATTTAACTTATCTGTACCATTGTTAATTTGAAATATAAGATAAACAAAATTGAAGCGTCTGTATGTAAACTAAATGCATATAATATGGTACTTTAAGAAAAATGTAATTTTTAAAAATATTGTCTATTTGTTTGTTACAGCTAATCTCTGAAATGGCTATACTCATTTTGATAGGACTTTCACAAGCAGATAGCTGATGTTATAAAGAGTAACTTAGGCTACTTAGAATAAGAATTAGGGTTTCACTGTAAAAAATTTAAACACACCTAGGGACGCACCCGAGTGAAGCGAATATAAGTCGCTAGTGTGATACAAAATATTTAATTCGGACTTTAAAACTTCACCATTTGACATTTACTAAAGAAATGGCAAATTAATAAGTATTGTAGTTGTTGTTTATATTGAAAATTACTTTAAATATTGAAAAAATTAAAATATTTATTTGAAAAACTAACAAAAGGAATGAATTTTCAAAAAGTGTATAAAAATGTATGTTTTGTCTAAGAATGGTCGCTTATATAAGCCTTTAAGCTTTTTGGAGTTATACTTCTTTTGGCACGTTTGGAAAAAGTTATAAGAGTATTTTTACGATGCGCGCGCACCGACAGACAAACAGAGTTGTGACATACGGGATGAAATCTTTAGATATTTGTGTTCTGTTACGCCAAACAAGTATAACTTCTTACGTGCGTACATAAGTACACACACACACACACATGTTTTGTTTTTTTTTTTTTTCAATATATTAATTTTATATAAGCTCAATTTTATATTGTTAATAAAAAAAACTTAAGTCATAATGGCCAAAATGAGAAGATTGGCTTTAAATTAATTGGGTTCAGATTCACGAATCTTATTGTAAATATGTAACTGCAAAACTATATTAAGATTTTTTTATAATTTTTTTTTCAAACGTCAGTGATATAAAAAGGCTATAATTTTTTTTTTGTAAATTTTAGCATAGATAAGATAGAGTTAAGCTTTAAATTTTTCAACAATAAAAATAGTTACATATTTATTTTAATAACGCATTTTATTAAATTTTACCTATCTGTGTTCAGTATTTAAACGGGAAAAAAGTATATTTTTAAAAATTAAATACGTTTTAAATAAAACTATCTTTTCGGATTATTTCGCGGATTTATTTTGATTTTTGGTTCCCGACGTTTCGAATGCTTTACAGCATCCATGGTCACGGGAGAGACTGAGGTGTTAGATGTCTCGAAGATATAGTTGTTACAGACAATGTTAACATGACAAATGTTATTTAAAATGTCAAATATTCGCGTAAATCTAAGAAAGTATAATATTAAATACGTTTGTCACTAAGTTAATAAACTCTGAAGTTTTCACTAGAAGCCGTTGAAGACTTTCATAATCAAAAATTTCATTTTCATAATTTCTAGCTTCATAATGAAACTACAGTTAACTTATTGTATTGTATAACTACCTACTTAATTACCATCTAAGGGACGACGTTAGCTGAGTTTGTAGTGATAGGGTCACTTGTTGTGCCAGCGGTCGCAGGTTTGAATCCCGCTGGGGATATTAATTTGTGTAATGAGCCCGAACGTTTATACTCCAATCATGGGTTATTTTTTATAATATGTATGTATTTAAAGTTATATAGTGTTATATTGTGTAGTACATATATCAATTATATGGTATCCTTAACACAGGCCTCGTAGCTTACCATGGAACTAGAAGGTGATGTGTGTTAATGTCCCAACATATTTATTTATTAATTATCCAACGACGTACGAATCATCAAAATCGGTTTAGCCGTTTAGTAATTACGAGGGAACATAGGGTCAGACATACATACAGGTCAAACACATAAGCCTTCTTTAGGCTAAGGCTACAAACGTACACTATAAAAAGTCGACTATAGGCATATTATTTTTCCACAATCAAATAAAACTATCCTTGAAACCATAAATATGTAAAGATAAAACAGTTCCGTACCTTTTCTCCTCTGTTTATCAATATATTTTTACCCGACTGCGCCAGAAGGAGGATTATGTTTTTCGAGTGTATGTATGTATGTATGTATATTTCTTTGGCACGCTCTGTAGCCTGACCGGCTTGATGGATTTTAGCTTGAGGGGTGTCGTTAGATTTGTCTTAATCGTGAGAGTGTCACTGAGCAAATATATCAAAATAAAAACATCATAAAACATATACATTGTATGTATGTATGTCCCCGACTGCATATATTCTTTTGTCAACTTATTCTCATCTTTTTAGTTCTCTTTTTACGCAGTCGGGTTTTTTTTTAAATATATTTTTTTTATTTCTTTAATAGCTATTGACGAGCTTTAGCTGTTATTATAGTCAAAATAGACATTTCAAATAACAAAAACTCCCACAGAGCTGAAATTTGGTAGTGACCTTGGATACACCATTAGAAATAAACTGTCAACTAAGTCGAATCTATACATTAAATATTTTTTGGAAAATCTTATTGAAATTGGACTTATTATCGATACAGAGTCCGAATTTATAGGCAGATTTTTTGTCTGTCCACAGTCTGTCTGCCATCCCGTCTGTCTGTTACCGCATCATTTCGCTACTGGACAGGTTTTGGTGAAATTTGGCCTTCGCTTATAGCTGGTTATCCGCCGCCAGGTCAATATATAGGATACTTTTTTACCGCGGGAAAATATCTCAGTCTAGGGCTTGCAAAAACTGCAATGTAGGAGTATACTAATATGTAAAACCTAAGAATTTGGTTTTTAGTCATTTGAACGTGGGCAGAGCCGCGAGCAATGCTAGTTAGAAATAAATTTTCAAAAGTCCCCATCGATCCCCAAAAAAGTGCTAAAAAAGTTATTCAATGTCAAAGGTCAACATTTTTGGTTTTATGGATTTTTCTCACGGTAAGTTTTATCAAAAACATAGCTTAGACAAAAATTGTAGATCATAAAATTATCTACAAAAATGGTCGTATTACTTTTTTTCCTAAAAAGCCCCATTCCTAAGATATTGCGATTCTAGAATTTGAATGTGTTACATTCTACATGATTGGCACTTACCGTTTTATCAATACGTTGCCACTGAGCTACCACTGCGCATATTCAATAATGATTATAATCGAATTTCGACCACTAGACGAACATTTTTTTTTTTATAAAATTCCATGTCTAGAAAGGATGAGAACTGACAATGTATGATATAGAGCATGAACCACCTATCAAGTTTCCTTTGTACTGTGATAAAGACAGCTACGGATGCGGACGGTACAACTTTCAAACAATGTTTTTTTCTTTATTAAATAACTAGCAGGACCCGTGGCTTCGTTCGCACTAAATCTACTAAAAAAACCTCTAAAAAGGTAGGTTTTGTACACACTTTCACCCTCTTATTTTACCACTTTATGGGATGAATTTTGAAAAATACTAGAACACGTATTTATTTAATTGTATTGAAGAGCATTATTACCAAGTTTCAATTAATCCTGATCATAAATATTTTTGGGTTATACTATAACGTGTTTTCCGCTGGGAATAAGATAATCTCCCGCGGTAAAAAATAGCCTATGTCACTCTCCAGCCCTCCAACTATATCCACACAAAAAATTACGGCAATCCGTCACTCCGTTTCGACGTGAAAGAAGGACAAACAAATAAACACACTTTCACATTTATAATATAAGTATGGATGTACTTACGCAAGCTAATATGAATAAATTAGATAAAATATATGAAATCTACGCCCTCATAATAGTTTTACTACACTCGGTTTATGCGTAAATTATTTATAAAAAAATTATTTATATATAAAAAAGCGACTCACCCTCGCTTCGCTCGGGTTCGTCTCTAGGTAAGTTTAGATGGTTAGTATGGGACACATAGACTACAATACAATGTTATATTACATAATATATACATAGGTATGATTTAGTTTCATAGCTCTTATTTTAGAAATGATTAATTCCCATTCAAACTTTCATCCTTTAAGCGATGATTTCAAGGATAAAAACTATCCTATGTCCTTCCCTGGACCTCGAACTATCTTCACAGCAAATTTTATCGAAATCGGTGCAGTAGTTCCAGAGGTTACTTCCTAGAAACAAACTCACAAACTTTACCTCTTTATAATATTAGTATGGATTTGGGTGTGCGTGTGTTCATAATTCTTAATCTGAACGGCTTGATCGATTTTGATATTTTTTTATAGATTTTTTTTTCGAACAAAGTGTACAGAGAGCAGGACAATGTCTGTTTCCGGGTAATGTATGTTTGTTACGTTCACTCTAAAAGGACTGAACGGATTTTAAATTAAATAACATTTTTTCTGCTGACGTCGACAATCATACCTACGAGTATGTTTGCCCGCCGACACAGCTTACACGTCTGCACTACGTGTTAAATAGTTTTTAAGTTTTTTATAATACATATATATGTTAGTTTTAAGGTATATATGCTATGGGCCTCTGTTTACATATTTAAGATCCCTATGTAAATATTGTCTGAAATAAATAAATAAATAAATAGTCTATCTATTCCATACTAACTGTTAAAACGTACTTAGGGATAAACCCGAGCGAAGCGAGGGTGAGCTTTCTAGTCTACACATATAATAAAATTTCACCTGAGTCGAATCCGTTTAATGTACAGATTCGAATCCATTTGAAATTTATTTTTTGGAAAATGTATAAATTATCAATACAGCCGCTAAATCTATAGTTTCTAGAAATTTTGTCTGTCTGTCTGGGAACGCATCGCGAGAAAAAATTTTGATGAAATTTGATATGATGATAGCTAGTTATCCGGATCAACATTAAGGATACTTTTTACTGCGGTAAAATATCTCATCTCTGAGAAATCTATACTAATCGTTAAAACGTACCAAGGGACGAACCTGAGCGAAGCGAAGGTGAGTCGCTAGTTATCTATAAATGTACCATTTCTATCGAGAATGAAGCGTTTAAAAGAAATCTTACTATAATGATTACTATTTAAATAGTGCTTGTTAAATGATTTGCATACTTGCATTCTATTTATCGGTGCGTGTGTCTCACGCGAGTTGTTGCTATAATTTCAAAGTGTTACTATATAGTTTAATCGCTTATTTGTATTATTTATAGCCTTCTAGCAGAACCCGCGGCTTTGCTCACGCTAAAACTACAAAAAAATATCTAAAAAGGTAGTTTCATACAAACTTTTATCCCCTATTTTACCCTCTTATAGGATGAATTTTGAAAAATGCTAAGACACGCATTTATTTAATTTTATTGAAGAGTATATATACCAAGTTTTAAGTAATTCTGATCATAAATGTATATATATTTTTTTGGTTTGTATTATAACGTGTTTTCCCATAGGAATTAAGTAGATAATATCTCGCGATAAAAAATAGCCTATATCACTCTTCAGCCCTTCAACGATCTCCACACAAAAATCAAGCTAATTCTTTACTCCGTTTCGACGTGAAAGAAGGACAAACAAACACACTTTCACATTTATAATATTAGTATGGATATCACCTAAGAATATATGTATCCCTTATACTCGTATCCATACTTAATATTATAAATGTGAAAGTAACTCTGTTTGTTTGTTACGTTTTCACGACTAAACGGCTGAACCGATTTAGATGAAAATTAGTATGGAGATAGTTTGAAACCTTGCAAGACCATAAAAGAGTTTTTATCCCGGAAATCATCCCTCATGAGGGTGTACATTTGCATGGAGAATTAATCATTTCTCAAGTAAGGGGTATAAAATATCTCCATATACCTATGTATATATATGTATAATCTGTCTATTCCATATACTAAACGTTACAATGTAACTGGGAATAAACCCGAGCGAAGCGATGGTGAGTCGCTAGTATTTTAATAAAATCTGCTTAGTATCAGAACTCATAATAGCTTTTTTTGAAGTCGGAAAAACTGGACCTATAGTACTAACGGACTTCCTTAGTATTTTATACTCCAAGAGACGGCGTTCCATAGGCATATAACACCAGCGACATTAAATACGTTTAAATTACATCTTTGTCAGTATGTCGTACACGCGATGGTTATGGTTAGCCACACATAAGATTACTGGGCTAAGATAATTATATTTGTATACATATTTCTCTTATACAATAACAGATAGATATATTTCTTAAAACTTGAAAAAAAAAAGTTTGATTACTGTGATTTGTTTATGGTTTTGCCTTAAATTTTCCTTAAAACTGCTTTATATAAGATGGAAATTCAATTGGACACACAAATTGACGTCTGAAATCCGCTAAAATTTTCTATATATACATATAATAAAATTCTGAGTTGAATTATAAACATTGAATATTTTTTGAAAAACGTTATTGAAATAGTCATTATTGTATATCGATACAGAGGCCGAATCTATAGTTTTTAGAATTTTTGTCTGTCTGTCTGTCTGTCTGTAAAACGGATTACGATATGGGTTTTAACCACTGGATAGATTTTGATGAAATTTGGTATGATGACTGTTAGTTAACCGGGTCAACACATAGGATAATTTTTACAGCGGGAAAATATTCAAATCTATACTGACCGATTAAATGTAGGTATCTAAGGACGAACCCGAGCGGAGCGAAGGTGAGTCGCTAGTTTTTATTAATATTCATAAAACCTATAACACACGCGTTATTAAGGCAAATCTAACAACTCGTGAATCATCAAATCGATTATAATAACGGAATATGGTGTCAGACATACGTACATACAAACAGATTAAACATACAATCATTTGCCTTCGTCACAGTCGAAAAAAAATTTGAGAAATGAGTTTTATGAGTGGCTAGCATTGCCCGCGGCTCCGCCCGCGTTCAGATGACCAAAAACCAAATTCTTAGGTTTTACATATTAGTATACTCTTACAATGCAGTTTTTGTATTTTTTCTCAGAAATGAGATATTTTCCCGCGGTAAAAAGTATCCTATATGTTGACTCGGATAACCAGCTATCATCATACCAAATTTCATCAAAATCCCTCCAGTGGTTTTCCCGTGATGCGGTAACAGACAGACAGAGAAAAATTCCGAAAACTATAGATTCTACCTCTGTATCGATAATATTATCTATTTCAATAAGATATCCAAAAAAATATTTAATGTACAGATTCGGCTTAGGCTTAGTTACAATTTTATTATATGTATAGATTTTCAAAGAAATAAAAATTAAATGGATTTATAAATTCAATATCAACTTACAAAATCTAACTCATTGGTAGTAAGTAGCCAAGAATTCATGGGATAGAAAACCCATGTTGTACACTTATACATCTCAAGATATCTGGTTCGTGCCGCACCCTGCGTTGTGCTCATCAAAGCATGTAACTAACAATGGAGACGGAAACTTTAGACCAGTCGTTCACAAGAATCATCGTTGAACACTACATTTCACACTCAAACCCCAAAAAACTCAAAATAAAACTCTGGAAAATCTAAAATAATGACATAATTCTTCATAAATGAAATAAATGTAAAACAAAAATAAATTATTAAATTATTTTTATTGTGTTCATTTTAGAAAATGATTTTATAGTGTTCATTCAGTTTTTGCAAAAATGGCGATAGCGATCATTTTTCTTGCTTTCTTCACACGGTATGCGTTGAGTGAAGATTTTTTCAGAATGGTAAGTTAAATTATAACCGCATTTGCACAATTTCTTCATTTATTGCACCATCCATATTTAGTTGGAGATGATGGGGAATATTCTATAGAATAATAAAAACTACACCAAAAAATTATGCTAATTTAATGTTCTGCTAAGCGAATGCATTCATAGCGATCTATTTCATTGATAATTACAATCTGGCGATCATAAAATATTGCAGTTCATATATGGGCGAAACAAGCATACTGCACACTCTAATCGGTAAATCTATACATATAATAAAATTGTAATTACGTCGAATCTGTACATTAAATACTTTTTGGAAAATCTTATTGAAATAGACTTACTTTATTATCGATAGAGAAGCCGAATCTATAGTTTTTAGAATTTTTGTCTGTCTGTCTGTTACCGCATCACCACGGGACAGATTTTTATGAAATTTGGTATGGTGATAGCTGGTTATCCGGGTCAACATATATGTAATATGTAAAACCTAAGAATTTGGTTTTGGTCATGTGAACGCGGGCGGAGCCGCGGGCAATGCTAGTCTCAAATAAAATAAAAATAACAACAAAACATAAAAATGCTCAAAAAGGCATGTCTGTGGATGGTTAGACTTGCTCAAATAAAAAAAAACAATTCAAGAGAGATAACTTATTTGATATCCAAGCTCTAGATCCTGACCCGATCCTATATCGGCAATAATTATACGTCGGCAGAACTATTAACAGCTCTGGATCAATGAGGAAATTGGACATAGACAATCGATCCCCTACTATGTAAAAACAAAAAACAAACCTACGGTTCCGGAACATTACATTTTCTCGATATAAAAAATATCCTACGTTCTATACCAAATGTCATTCAAATCCGTTCAGGTGTTTTGACGTGTTTGAGTAACAAACATCCATCCATCTAAATTTTCACATTTACATATAAAATACTAGCGACTCACCCACGCTTCAGGTTCGTCCTTAGACAAAATCAAATCTATCCCACGGGAAGCGTCCATTTTTGCGAGATAAAAAAAATATAATCTATCTCTGTGCCAAATTTCATCCAGATCCGTTCAGCCATTCTGACGTGATAGAGTACAAACACCTCACACCTCACAAACTTTCTCAGCTATTTCTAATTTTATGAAGTTCAGAAAGGCTTTGTCAAGTAAAAGACAGACTAAATAATAAATAAGTCAAAAGATGTTGTTTCGCTAGTTTCAAACTATTTACTTAATTATCAAATTGTTTTTACCAGGAAAAAAATAGTTTCACTAAGATCTGCGATAAATCGAGAGTTTCTGTTTTAACACGCAATGCTGTAAATCTTAGTGTTAAGTATGATTAACGTATATATATATATATATATATATATATATATAAATCTTTACGAATGTATGTATTGACGACACGTTTGGCTCAGTTTGTAATAAGTTAATTACCCTACTTGCTGTGCCAGCGGTCGCGAGTTCGAACCCTGCGGGGGGCATTCATTTGTGTGATGATCGCGAATGTCTGTACTCCAGTCATGGATGTTATTATTAATATGTATGTATTTAAAGTTATATATGTGTAGTGTATCAACTATCTGGTATCCATAACACATGCCTCGTACCTTACGATGGAACTAGATGGTGCTGTGTGGTAATGTCCCAACGTATCTATTTATTTATGTTCGTTTATCGATTTTTAAAGAAATGGTAGTTGTTATTTGTTAATTGTATCGTCTTCGTCAGATAAATTGATAAATTGTTAATTCGATATTAATAAAATGCAATGTTTACTTTGAAGAAACCAAAATAAGCTAATATACCGGGCTACAGATTTTTTTAGGTGCAAGTGTGTCTATGTACAAAGAAAAAATTACTAGCTAAGAGTAGTAAAAAATTTTTTATGCAATAATTTGAATTAATCTGATGAACTAAATATTTATTTATCGTACGATCATCAAGAAAACAAACATTTATAAATATGATTGAAGTACGCCTGTGATTTTAAAATAGCTATTTAAAAACCTTTTTATTTACCTGCCTATTTATATAATGTACTGGCGACTTACTTGTTCGTCCCTACTTACGTTTTAACATTTGCTATAGATTTCTCAGAGATGAGATATTTTCTCGCTGTAAAAAGTATCCTATATTTTGACCTAGATAACCAGTTGTCATCATACCAATTTCATCAAAATCCCTTCAGTAGTTTTTGTTTGATGCGGTAACAGACAGACAGACAGACAATAATTCTAAAAACAATAGATTCGATCTGTGTATCGATAATAATGTCTATTTCAATAAGATTTTTCAAAAAATATTTAATGTACAGATTCGGCTTAGTTACAATTTTATCATAAGTATAGATAACCTCGGAAAGGATGAATCAATTTAAAAGATACTTTTACTGGTAAGAAACTGGATGTAAATGAGATTTACATAGTTAGAGGTATACATAGTTGTATTTTATTCTTGTAAAAATATATATATGCATGAGCATTGACTGATAAAACAAATTCTTTTGTACTAGCATTGCCCGCGGCTCGTTCAGATGACCAAAAACCAAATTCTTAGGTTTTACATATTAGTATACTCTTACATTGCAATTTTTGTATTTTTTCTCAGAAATGAGACACTTTTCCGCGATAAAAAAGTATCCTACAGCCCTCCAACTATCTCCACACAACAAATCTCGCCAATCTGTCACTCACACTTAATATGGATTTTGATGGGATTATAATTACAATAAGCAACCATAAGTCTCTCGTATACATATGATAAAAAATTTAGTTTCCAAAATTAATGGCGAAACACCATACATATTTAACGGTAGAAACCTTCACGGTGTGACCAAGAAGGCATGACCGAGTTGACAAACTTTCCGCCAGATATTTGGGTCGGTCATTAAAACAATAAGCCTTTATCAAGCAAACATTCGTATACATTTAAAAACGTAACTTGATATATATCTTTACACATAAAATTACAATAGTCTGTCCAGAGGATGCCTTGATCTTATTTCGAAAATACTTAGCTATTATTTAGCCAAACTCTGACAAACTTCATCATTTTATCGTACTAAATCTATACATATAATAAAATTCTAAATTGAATCTATCTGTACATTAAATATATTTTTTAAAATCTTATTGAAATAGTCTTTATTATCGATGCAGAGGCCGAATTTTTAAATTTTTGTCTGTCAGTCTGTGATCGCATCACGACAAAACCACTGGATAGATTTTGATGAAATTTGGTATGATGATAGCTGGTTATCCGGGTCCATATATAGGATACTTTTTATAGCGGGTAAATATCTCTGAGAAATCTTAAAATTATAAATTCCTCCAGTTGTTTTTTCGTGATGCGGTAACAGATAGACAGACACACAGACAGACAGACAGGCAGAAAGACAGTCAAAATTCTAAAAACTATTGATTTGGCCTCTGTATCGATAATAATGTCTATTTTAATAAGATTTTCCAAAAAATATTTAATATACAGATTCGGTTTACTTACAATTTTCATGTTAAACTTACGCGTTTCGTCCATACTAGCAAAGCTGTCTGAGTAACCCATATGATATTGCCCAAAAATGGCCGGATAATGCGTAGGGACCATGGAAAATATGGAAAATTTATTTTTATTCTATATAGTTAAATGTGAAAAGTAAATTAGACAAACGGTTCGACAATTAAAAGTAGTTTAGCCGTAGCGAAAGTGCTATTGTGTTGTCTGTTGGTGTAACATGAAACAATAGAACTTTTAAGCGTATACTTTACTTGTTTTACATCACTCTTGCCCTCCATTTTGATTTTAAGTCAAAATCTATCTGACGTAAAAATAATAATTTTATAATGCACAAGTATTTATAAATTCGTTATAAAAATAAACCGATTGCGTAAAGTGGGAACTGAAAATATGGGCGAACATGTTGACGAAGGAACAAACTCGTAGTATTAGTAGTATGCAGTCGAAGACATACATTTATTACACTTGCTGCAAGTCTTGTTGGGTGTATGTGAAGCTGTAAAAATAAGTATCTAAGTTAACGCAATAAAAACACAGCAATTTAAACTGTATATTTAACTGTTTCGGTGGTCTGGTGATTCTGAGGTCCTGGGTTCTAGTCTTTCTGTTAAGAATGTCTCAGTAAAAACCCGGAGTTGGGAAGTTTGCGGTGTTTCGCTTCCATGTCTCGGTGCCTTAACACTCATCAATCGTGTCGAAGTATCGTCTCATCGAACTTTGAGAGTGTCAGGAATAGAGAAGGCACGTTGTGTCTCTCCTGCGCTGGTTAGTTTCATGAGATTGGCCGCCGACGACATCGATCATGAAGACATTATCATTACCTATTTGTAAGCACTTGCAATTACATCAAATCCTATTAACCTTTACCAAAAAGCATGTTAAAAATGGTGGGCAAATGGAAATCTTGGTGTGTAAACCAGACTTACGAGTACCATCAATTTGCCCAGATTTATTAGATTTAATGACCGTATCGTTATAATTTTGTATCCCAAGTAAAAACCAGTCAAAATTAACCAGATTTTTTATGTGAAAAAAGATAACGATGTCGTGATATAATGAATGCATTACCATTGTTTTATGCGTCCTTCGTTCTGGACATGCACTTGCTAAATTATCATCCTTCCTGTTATTAAGTCTTGACATTTTTTGTAGTTTCAAATGACAATGTATTTAACACTGAAGGTCACAATTGGGGGTGACCTTCAGCGTTAAAGATACGAATTTCCCCATTTATCTACTTTAAAGAGTAGGACCCCAACTATTAGCTTTTCAACTTTGGCCCAACTTCATAAAAGGGAAGTTACTCAATTGTATGTATGTTTTTGTGATCTTTGACCACAGTAAACCGTTTCTAATTTTCTTTTTATTAATTAAAAAAACATCCATACCTAAGACTGGAATTATCCACAAGTTAGCTTTCAGCTTTTTCTCATATTGAGTCAATACCTTAACTTTCTTCATTTATGACTCGTATTTTCAAATTTTTAATTCTTATCACCAGTTTGTATTCAAAATTGACAGTATTTTCGTTCTAGGGAGTAAATACTAATGTAGCGGAAGCTAACCAATTTCTTCGAGAATATGACCGAGAAGCTTCAGGAATGTGCTACAGGTAATAAAAATACTATGTTTATAACTCATTCCCAAATTCATCGCATTAAAAATTACACTATATTCTTATTAGTATTATTAACTAACAACTTGCCCTCGCGTCCCTGTGTACGTGAATTTTGTTCACAATTTCATGGGTTTTAATTTTTGGCGCCGAACCCTGATTCTTGATCTAAAATAAAAACAACCTAAGTTTCTCCTTATAAGAACTGCTGTCTACCAGTGAAAGTCCTGTCAAAATCAAAACAAAAACAGACAGACAAATCTTATTAGTATCATATGTACTTTCAATTATGCATTTAGTAAAAAGCTGTTATTTTGACATTACATAAACAAACACTTCAATTTTTGTTTATTTGTAAAGATAATAATCTCGTCTTCCACGAGCATCATACATATGTATGTATATTAGTTCTGATATCGATGGACATAGAGAAAAGCATAGAAGTGTGCATTTTCTTTTTCTATCACGTATCAATTCATCAACTTTTTTTAATTCCAGAGTAACAATGTCGCAATGGAAGTTTGTAACCAACATCACAGAATATAACCGTCGGAGAATGCTCGAAGAATTAGCACTAAATTCTAAATTTGAAAAGCTCTCATGGAAAAAAGCAGCAGCTTACGATGGATCCAGATTATCAGAGCCTCAGGGCAGGAGACAGCTGGCTAGGATTGTGCAGGCCAGTAGGGCTGCTTTATCAGATGAAAAGTTTACTGAAGTAAGAAATTTGTTAGGAACAGCTACTATAAAAAAAGATTTAAGGCAATTTCAAAATTGCAAATAATAAATGTATTTATTACTTATTTATGTACCATAAAATATATGTATGTCATGCAAAATAAAGTAACAGAATGTCGATAAAGGATAACCTCTTTAATAGATATCTTCCAGAAACCCTTCAGAAGTGAGAAAATAAATTAATTTAGTGCGGTGTAGGTACAGTACAGCATTAAATGGTATAAACTTAATATTAAAATATATTGACTAATTATTATCATTACACAAAAATGAATATATTTATACACACATACATACATACAAACATATATACCTACATAATATACACTTACATATACGCACATACTTACATATTATTTATTAAATTACAAAAGTTTGTTATCAATTTTCAGATACAGCAACTAATAACAGAAATGAAAGAAATCTACAATTCAGCAAAAATTTGTCCTTACGGCCAAAAGCCATATGACCCACACGTACCAGTGGTACGGTCGTATCCCACTGAGTATCCCGAAACTAATCGAGGATACCAACCTTACCAGCTATCAAACCAACCTTTCCAACATTACCAACTGCAGCAAGAAAATTCAGACTACCCTAATTATTGTGACATGCAACTAGACCCAGAAATTTCGAGAATTCTAGCTCATTCTAGAATAGAAAGTGAACTGCTATACGTCTGGAAGAGTTTCAGAGACAAAACTGGTCCAAAATTAAAGAATCGATTTATGAGATATGTGCAACTAGCTAATGAAGCAGCCGTTAATACAGGTGGGTTTTCTTTTAAAAGTTTTTATAAATGAGAAAAGAAATAGTGTTATTGCGCATGTTTCATAATATAATATTCAGAAAAATAGATAATTAAAATGAACCTATATTCGTTATAAATGCATAGAGAAATTATTCTTTCAAAACTCAATTTGCATCGCATTCTAGAATTTTTTTGGTAATTATATTATAGGCTTATAATCTCTATTAACAAGTTTGGTACAATGCCTTATTTTTTATAATCCTGGGAAAAAAACTTCTGAGTCACTAAAACTTGTATATTTTTTCCAGGCTTCAGAGATGCTGGCGACCAAATGCGAGCTGCCTATGAGGATCCTTCATTCAGAGCAAGTGTAGAAGAGACTTACAACCAAGTAGCGCCATTGTACAAGCAATTGTTCACTTATGTACGAAGGAAGTTGGTGTTACGGTATGGAGAGAACAGTGTGAGGCCAGATGGACCTATACCTGCACATCTGTTAGGTAAATGCTAACTTAACTTATAAAGCTCTTTTGTTGTTTATTTGTATGTTTGAACATATTAATCTTTGGGACTACGAGTTTAGATTTGAACAAACATTTATAACTTTTATATTTATTGAGGTTATTTTTAAACACAGCCATTCGAGTCAAGCAATGAGTAAGCAAATGAAAGAACAGGCAATACCTCGTAAAATAAGAACAGCGCAAAGATGGACATTAATATTTTTAAATATTTCACGCGTGGACTGATTTTTAATAAGAATCTTGAGTCTTAATAAAAACATAGCTAAGTCTTCTTCCAAAATCGCTTTACAATTTTTCATTACTTTAAAAATGGAGTAAAAACATCAAATTGAAAATTAAAAAAAATTAAGATTAATCCCAGAAATTCTTTAAACGGACAGTGTTCAAAGTTTCTTTTTAATTTTAGGTAATATGTGGGCACAGAATTGGAAATCAATCATGGACTTGGTGATGCCATTCCCTCAAGCACCAAACATAGATGTTACTTCTGAGATGTTACGACACGGATTCACTCCTTTACGGTGTGTTGCTGAAATATACCTATTTCATTTGTATTTAGCCCTTTTTAACGTCCCACTGCTGGGGGTGGGCCGCCCTTCAATATGAAGAGGATCAGGCTACAGTCCACCACGTTGGTCTATTGCGAGTTGGTGGACAGTTTCATTTATTATTGTTTAATTAAATAAAAAAATGTCTCCTTTATAAAATGACTGGCAACACTCTCGACTTGCTCGGGTGAATACCTTAATATCCTTTGTATTTTCAAAGAGACAGCATTGCCTTTCGACAAATATATTGCTATTTGGCGAACCATTTTAACTCTGAAATAAATAGAAAACTCATATGCAAATAATTGTTAAATTAATTCTTGGAATCAATATGACAATACAGAATGTTCAAGGTTTTCTTTTAAGATTTTTTTTTTCAGAATGTTTCAAATGGCGGAAGAGTTTTACACGTCCATGGGTCTAAAACCGGCACCGCCTGAGTTCTGGCGCGGTTCGTTGCTCGCGCGACCTCAGCGCGCTGTACAATGCACTGCTAGTGCTTGGGACTTCTGCAATAGGATAGATTACAGGTAATAATAGCTACATATCTAGGATACATAAGGAAAATTATTTAATTTAAACCCCCAGAGGAAGTCCTATTTTGAATTATATAAAAAAATTACAGAACATATTTAAATAGCTTATGCTTAAAAAACTCTATTAATCTATGTAAAGAATATTTAATACTTTCTTAGGTTTACGCGAATTTTTGACATTTTAAACGAAACTATGTTTTTGGATTTTTGCGCCGATTTATTTAGATTTTTGGTTCCCAACGCCAAATCTAAATAAAAAAAATGGTTCGAATGCTTTACAGCAATCGTGGTCACGGGAAAGACTAAAAAATTTTTTAAATTAATCCGCGAAAAAATACTAAAAGATAGTTTTATAAATATATTGAAGAGTCGAATATTCTTCTAGGATTCAGGTTAGACTTAAGAGCTTACATACATACATACATACATACATACATACATACATACATAAATGTATCATCAAACCGATCATAGTGTTGTGAAATTTTTAATACAGTATTCTTAAGATGCCATATACCGTGTGTTTCATTTACTTCAATATAAGTTCTAGAAAGGTAAATATAAAGATGATACATTTGTTTAGCATCATTAGAACGTTCTCAAATCAGTAATAAAATCTAAACTCCCAAAAGAATAAGAATTTAAAGAGTTATCATTATGTTCTCTCAGAATCAAACAATGCACGGAAGTGTCGATGCAGGACCTGATCTCCACTCACCACGAGATGGCCCACATACAGTATTACTTGCAGTACGCAGACCAGCCTCAGCTGTTTAGGGATGGAGCTAACCCTGGTAAAAGCGGTCTTATATTTAAATAAAATATATATAGCCTTAAACAAACAAAAAATATCATGGTAAAAAACAATAAACCAATAACCCAACTGTGTAAAATGTGAGCTTTATATAAAAAAATTATAAATTAAACTTATTATTTAAGTATTATTATATTATTATTACTATATTTGGTACATTAACACAGAATTATATAAATTATTAATTTATAGATATAAAATAATCAAATTTCAAATGTCTCTTTCCAGCTTTCCACGAAGCTGTAGCGAATGCAGCGACACTCTCCGTGTACAATTTGCAACATTTACAGAGAGTGGGACTTTATCAGAACAAGTGATTTTCTCTTTATATTTTAATATACTAGCTATTGCCTGCATTTTTACTTATTATGACCACCCTTTTGTAAAAACTTTGAATCTATTTGTATATATTTTAACGTTAAAAAAGCCAAAATGAACTGACTTCCAAAAAAGAGGTTTTGTAATCGTCTGTATGTATGTATCTATTTTTTAATTCTATTTCTTACTATTAGATTAAAAATTGAAACCTTCATAGAAACCATGTTATTATTTAATTATATCCATGGTCGTAATAGAATTTTTTTTTTCAGATCGCACGATCCTTATGAAGTGAGCATGAACTTTTTGATGTCAATGGCTTTGGAGAAAGTCGCATACTTACCTTTTGCGTTTATGGTAGACCAGGTACGGACTTACATAATCACAAACAAAAATATCTATATAGTGGGCTTAGATATCGCTAACCGAAAATAGTACACTCTTCAAAATATCTTTAAAATAAACAAAAAACGTTTAAATTAAAACGTAATTTTTCATTTATCTATACATATAATAAAATTGTAACTAAGCCGAATCTGTACATTAAATATTTTTTGGAAAATCTTATTGAAATAGACATTATTATCGATACAGAGGCCGAATCTATAGTTTTTAGAATTTTTTTCTGTCTGTCTGTCTGTTACCGCATCACGGAAAAACCACTTGAGGGATTTTGATGAAATTTGGTATGATGATAGCTGGTTATCCGGATCAACATATAAGATACTTTTTATCACGGGAAAATATCTCATTTTTGAGAAAAAATACAAAAACTGCAATGTAAGAGTATACTAATATGTAAAACCAAAAAAATTGTTTTTTGGTCATCTGAACGCGGGCGGAGCCGCGGGCCATGCTAGTATGAAATACTTTAGGTAAACAAAATAATAAAAACCTATTCAGAACTGGCAACGTAACATTTGTTACACCGCTATACTTGTACTTCGCGTAGTACGCAAAGCTATTAATCCTACGCCTTCACAAGTCATTCCGAATTGCCATCCTATATATATATATATATATATTATATATATATATATATGATATATAAATCATTCAATCATTGTCTCGGAGGGTAGTTTAAAAAATTATTTTTATTATTATATTTTTAATATAATACTTAGAGATAGAACGGAACAAATAACAAACATATATACTTATAATATTATTAAGGATTGCAACTAAATTAATCAAAACAATGTTTCAGTGGCGTTGGTCGGTTTTTGAAGATGGCGTACATAACATGAACACAAGATGGTGGCAAATGAAACTTAGATTTCAAGTAAGTATATAAAAGAAACTCTTAACTAACTAGCATTACTACGACATATAACTAGTTCGATGCCCGCTCGAAGCAAGTTTTCGAAAGACATGTGAAGTCCGCCAACCGATACTTGTCCAGCGTGGTGGACTATGGCCTGATCCGCATATTGAAGGAAGGCCCATGCCCAGCAGTGGAACATTAAAAAGGGCTGAATACTATATAAATACATACAATCGTTTCTTATGAAAATAGCCAGGCCCTATAGCTTATACTTGACAAAATAATTATTTACATCCCAAAATCCATTTTAAATGTTTAAAGTAAAAACTAAAATTAATAGAACTAAAAATTCTAAATTTTAGGGCGTGACTCCACCAATTGCAAGAACTGAAGCAGATTTTGATCCTGGAGCGAAATATCATGTCATATCTGATCAAGTGAGTAAACACTATTGTATATTTTATATATATATATTTAAGTATGGAATAGCTATAGTTATGCCTCTAGTAACTAGCACGTAAAGCTGCAGATTTGTTTGTCCTGGGTTCGAGTCTAGAGTTAGAACAGGTGTAGTTCTTGGGCATCGTCTAAAAAGAAACTTTTAGTAACAGCCCGGAGTTGAGAAGTTGAAATTGTATATATGTATATATATATATATATATATATATAGACATACTTCGTATAGACTTATAGTGTGTAGGTTACACCAACATTCTGCAGCCTTTTTTTAGATTTTTTTCATTCATTCGTTTTGTTAAAATTCCCCAATCATATTTTAGAAACATGACGAAAATCGCAGAATTTTTTTACAAAATCTGTAAAAAAAAGCAAAAGAACAAAATCTAAACCCTCTATTCTGTGACTAATTTTTTTATCCATACTAATAAATGTAAAAATAACTATCAATTACATTTTCATGCTTGCACCACTGACCAGATTTCGATAAAATTTAGCAAGGATATAGATTGCATTCGGGGACGGACATGGCTACCTTTTGATCCTCCTCACTTACCTAGCGAGCGAAGCCGCGGGCAAAAATTGGTATTTAATAGTAATCTTAAATTATAATTTTCAGGAATACATAAAATACTTTCTAGCAACGGTCCTAGAGTTTCAAATATTCGAGCAACTTTGCATCGCGTCGGGACACGCCGGTCATCTGCACGAGTGCGATATATACAGGAGTCGGGACGCGGGCAGAGTTTTAAGGTATATAGAGTTAAATTTTTTGTACGTCTTATTAAGTAGTAGATTTGAGGCAAATTAAAAAAAAACGTGTGTGTGTACTTATGTACGCACGTAAGAAGTTTTACTTCTTCGCCGTAACAGAACAAAAATAGCTAAAGATTTCATCCCGTATGTCACAACTCTCTGTTTGTAAAAGGAATGCAGCTAACTTCATCATGTCGCTTTTTGGCTGTCGGTGTGCGTGCGTATCGTAAAAATTTTACTCTCGTAATTTTTTCCAAGCGTGCCAAAAGAAGTATAACTTCAAAAATAGTTTTCCTTTCAATTTGTTTTGAGTTGTGTGTACGTTACAGCTAGTAAATAATACTTGATTCAAAATTAAAAAAAAAATACTAAATGAGAGCCATTTTTGTAATCGATGTATGTATATTACATACTGTAGAGACAATTAATTAGAAATCTATATAGATTATGCTTTTTCAGTGAAATAATGCAGCCTGGGGCCTCTAAGCCAGCATCTGAAGTAATTAGGATCATGACTCGCGGCAAGACTAATAGAATCTCCCCGGAATCTATCGTTCGGTTAGTATTTGTATATCTTTATTTATTAATAAATAAGTTATTTATACTAATATTATGAAGAGGTAAAATTGGTTTGTTTGTGAGATTGTGAGTTTGTGACGTTGTAGGGCGTAATCTCTGGATCTACTGAACCGATTTAAATGAAATTTGGTAAGAAGATAGTTTGAGACCCTGGGAAGGACATAGGATACTTTTTATCCTAGAAATCATCCCTTAAGAGGGGGGAAATGTATGGGAAATCAAGATAGGGTCGCTAGTTTATAATATTTACATAGATATATAAGAAAAATATTTCGGTAGAACGTGACATTCTAACTTACCAAGAGAAAATAGTCAAGAGTCGAACTCTCACAAAGTAAAGCTTCAAATAAAAATTCCCAACCTCCATAATATATATATATATATATATATATATATATATATATATATAGCCAGCCAGCCTACCCACAATTAACAAAATCTGGCTGTCTGTAACAACTATACCTCCAAGACATGTAACACCTCAGTCTCTCCCGTGACCATGGATGCTGTAAAGCATTCGAAACGTCGGGAAACAAAAAAATACAACTATATCCGCGACAAAATCCGAAAAGATAGTTTTATTTAAAATGTCAAATATTCGCGTAAATCTAAGAAAGTATTACGTAATAGATTTGTATATAAAATACAAGAATTGGTTGAATTGGATCGGTCTCTACTGGTGACAGGAGGGCTGGCGCATTTTTCGCCCAAAGAACCGCCATTGCCATTCAACGGGGGAATGCGGCTAGCATTCTTGCCACTATTCCACGCGGACATGACTTGTACAGTAATAACTAAGTGTACATATTTTTTGTATATATAATTAAGTATATTTGTAATTTTCTTGTTTGTAAATAAATATAACTTATTTTTTTTTGTTATAAATGAATTATAGTGGATTTTGAAATTCAGAATTGGTCATTTAATATTATAATTCATAAGAAACAGCTTTTTATAAAATAAACTTAAAAAAATATTCCAGGTATTTTCGACCACTCGAGCTCTGGCTGCGCGTACAAAATAGAGACGAACAAATCATTGGCTGGAATTCTAACTACCAAGACGTGGCGCTCTTCGCCCCACAAAAAGCTTCATCTAATATTAATAGATTATCTGTTGGTTTGTTTATTTGTGTTCTTGTATTGTTGTGAGATATAGGTTTAAGAAATAAATATATTGTTTGCCTTTTGGTTTTGTTTTACCGAGTTTTTTTTTCTGAAGAGCTTATATATTTCCTAACAAATATCTATTCAAAACGTGACGTCAACATGTGACATTAAGTCAAACTAAAGAATGAAATACAAAAATCGAAAATTCTAATTGTCTAAACACAAAATCGAACTTACACACACCACATAGAGTACTTTTTTAAACGAAACATATATATGCATTTTAATTTTGTCATCCGATAAGCAATGAACAAAAGAGATTTGATAAAAGTGCAATTCAATTTAGAATTGTGCACTTCTTTTTGAGGACACTTTTGAGACGCTAATAGTATATCTTGATTTTTTGTATAAAATGAAAAAATTTAATTATCTATAAAAATAGCGTACGTTATAAATATAAAAGAAAAAATTTAATTTTTCTTTTAGACCGTAAATAAAACAAATTTTCAGCATATAACATACCTACTTTTTTTAACTTTGGGAAATGCATTTACGCACGAGGTGTGGGACTCACCGGTAAAGCCAGTACTACCCACTAAAAACCAACAAAACCTTCCCCCGTCTTAATGGGGCGTCGCAGGATCGCTTACGCATTCAACTACGACGCTCCGACGGCAAGTCTGCCGAAGCAGAACACAACAACCATGGGGTTGCTCCAAGGTCCACTCTGCTATCAGAAAAGTACCAGGAGCAACCCGCATGGTACACCGCCCACCGAAGAGGGTCACCTTCCACCGCCCACCGAAGTGGGCCACCTCCCTGTGCCTTTCTGGCTTCGCTCCCGGCTGGATTGCTAGGCACTACTGAGCCCCCCACCACGACAAGGTGAACGTTGGGGGGGGGGGGATATAACATACCAACTTAAATTTTTGGTCTGAATATACCTAGATTTCTATTATTCTAGATAGTTTCAGAACTCATTTGCGATAAGAAACTTTCACTCGAATCCCTCCAAATGAAATCACGGTAACATCAAATTAAATTACTTAAATTAGTAAGTTATTGTCAAAACGACTTCAAGAAATAAATCAAAATAGATTTTATCCGAGTCTGGTGTCCTGGTAAGTTGCACTTTTTGCACCAAGACTCCGACATTACTGCTTTATATATTATCTACTAGCATTGCCCGCGGCTCCGCCCGCGTTCAGGTGACCAAAAACCAAATACTTAGGTTTTACATATTAGTATACTCTTACAATGCAGTTTTTGTGTTTTTGTATTTTTTCTCAGAAATGAGATATTTTCCCGCGATAAAAAGTAGCCTGACCCGTTGACCCGAAAAACCAGCTATCATCATACCAAATTTCATCAAAATCTGTCCAGTGGTTTTCTCGTGATGCGGTAACAGACAGACAGACAGACAGACAGACAGACAAAAATTCTAAAAACTATAGATTCGGACTCTGTATCGATAATAATGTCTATTTCAATTAGATTTCCCAAAAAATATTTAATGTACAGCTTTGACTTAGTTAGAATTTTATTATATATATATATATATATATATATATATATATATATATAGATTGTGCTTTGAATGGTTAAAATTGTTTTCTAATTGCATTTTTTGTGAAATTGTTGACAAAGAATGCAGTCACTTTCGCCCCGTGGTTAGTTTTACTTCGATGCTTAAAATGTCATTAACTACAGACCTAAATATAGCTTCTTATTTGGGTCTGAATGAATATTTTATGAATATAAAACTAATTTACTCGTGATTTTTTTGATCTATTTCGAAAGAAAGGTGCTCAAATCGCGTATATATTATTCTTTTTAACCCCCGACGCAAAAAGAGGATGTGATAAGTTTGACGTTGATGTCTGTCTGTGTGTGTCTGTATGTGGCATCGTAGCTCTCAAACGGATGGAACGATTTCGATGCGGTTTTTTCATTTTAAAGCCAGTTTCCTTGCGGTAGTTCTTAGCTATGTTTGGTTAATATCGGTCCAGCAGTGTAAGAGTATCAGCTCTTTTCCAAAATGATGTAAGGCATTTTACTCGATTAAGTACTTCACGCGTGCCAGTGTAATCGTTAAATGAAAATTAATTTGCGGGTTTTTTAAATTTTTGATATTTGTATGTTAATTGTGAGCAAAATTTCATGCAAGATATTATTTAATACGAGCAACTTACATTCGTTTCGCTCGGATGCGTGCGCACTCATGTGCAACTATAACCTATAGGTTACTCCAAGTCATGACAGCCACGGCGGCTTATCTGATTGAGATTCACCAGCGCGGGAGATATTATAGTGCACAAGTAGGCGCGTATACCAGATTCTGATGGGGAAATAAATCGACTAGACCGGTGTGAGATCAGGCGCAGAAACGATGACTTTACGTGCTCTCCGAGGCAAGGGTGTGAAACATCGCCAACTTGTTGAAGGCCGTTACTGAGATTTTCTAAACAGAAACAATAACTAAACTAGGCTCGACTCGGGTCTAAACCCAGAACCTCAGGATGTGTATCTGTTTAATGTGTAAGTATTAAATTTTATCTGTACATCAGTTCTAACATACAAATCTAATTCAAACAATATAAGATCTTATGACTACTGTAAAGATTTCACCTTTAGATACTTAAATTACATTTTTTTGCAAAACTTTTACTTTTGATTCGGATGACTAAATTTACTGTCGTAGTGTGAGATATATGCTGCTGTATAAAGAAGGCCCTAACTAACAATTTGGTCAAAAATGACTTAAATGCTGATTTGGAATCAGCAAAAAAATGCTACTTTATAATGTTACTCATAAAACTCTAAATCCTATGATTTCGGAGATACCATAAATAACCATTTTCATCGTAACTATGTACAAACCACTACTAAGTACTAAGATAAAACTTCAAATATCTCGAAATCAAGTTTGACGAAGTTGCAGCCATCTTTTTTATGACGGCAGTATGATAGGGACCAATATTACTACAACTGACTCGTTGACCAAAGGTAAACTTGATTAGTTGGCTCGTTCTTTTCCTAGATACGAATATCCCAAATTGGGCACAAATATGGTTTGATTTGTCAAGAAAAGTCATGCGTACTACGAATGTAAAGGAATAGATCAAGGTAGTTTCAAATTATCCACCATAACGGTAACCGTCAGAAGTAAATTTTATAGAGTTATATTAGGGGATGAAAATTTGTATGAAAGTACTTTTTAGAGATTTTTTTGTAGTTTTAGCGTGAACAAAGCCTCGGGTTCTGCTAGTTTTAAATATAACCATCTTTTCGGATTTTTTGCCGATTTAATTTGATTTTTGGCTCCCGACCTTTCGAATGCTTTACAACAATCATGGTCACGGGGCTAAGTTTTTCAACGTTTCAAAGATATATATATATATATATATATATATATATATATATATATGTACCTATAGTTGTCACAGACAGTGCCTACCCACAAAATTTGTTCTTACAGTGTAAATCAAAATAATACTAATTCAAATTAATTTTTTTTATTTATTGCACAATATTTTCACTTTTAATAACAGCAAACTAAAATACAGATATTTTATATAATAAAAATTGTTATCTCTGAAATTGCATATACTAATATAATTGCATTTAATATGAATAATATTAATTGTTTAATTAAATAATATTTTAAATCTTAAATAAAATTATCTTTTCAGATTATTTCGCGGATTTATTTAGATTTTTGGTTCCCGACGTTTCGAATGCTTTAGCTGATTTAATGCGATAGTTTTATTTGTGAATCATGCCAGATATTGTGGGTTCAATACCCGATGATAGCAAATGTTTGTATTTATCAATTACCTATCTGTTTGTCCGTTGTTTTTTTAAGTTAGCAAGTAACTCTTGAAAATCTTGACCTATTTAGGTCGTTTTCACATAACAAAAATATTAATTTAGATATTATAATAAGCGATACTAAAAGTTATTCTATTTGAAAGGGTGTGTACTGTAGTCAATTAATTTTCATCTATAAGAACTTTTTCACGCCCCAGTTACATGTATGTGGTGCCGCCTTTATTTTTACAAGACACAGATATATCGAAATTATAAGGGATCCGTTTTCATATTATTGCTACGGAACCCTAAAAAAGCATACAATAAGTACGCTACCATTTTAGCAGATGGTTATAAATATACAGACTTTAGCATTTATAGAATGGAAATAACTTTCTCAAACAAAACTTATAGATCAAAAGTGTAATAAAGAAGTATGAAGTATGCAATTAATTATCTAAATTGCCATTAATTTAATTAACCTTATTAAAAATAATTATATCTTCTATACATATAGTAAAATTCTGAGTCGAATCTGTACATTAAATATTTTTTGGAAAATCTTATTGAAATAGTTATAACTATTGATAAAGACGCCGAATCTATAGTTTATAGAATTTTTATCTGTCTGTCTGTCTGTCTGGGAAGGCATCACGAGAAAACCACTGGACAGATTTTGATGAAAGTTGGTATGATGATAGCTTGTTATCCGGGTCAACATATAAGATGTTTTTTACTGCGGGAAAATATCTCATCTCTTAGAAATCTATACTAAACGTTAAAACGTAACGTTAGTAAATAAAATGTTTATAAAAGTTTTTATAAAAAAATATTTTTATTCTATCGGTATTGAATGGATGAAATTATACATCAATTGCAATCCTTACAAAAAAAGTCCCCCGTCCCATAAATGTTAAAAGACCTATCACAAAAATCAAAATTTCTGAGTTCTACAGTACTGAGTTCGAGCGGCCGACGCATCGTATTTTTTATCATTTTGTGCAGTTATAATTACTTTTGTGTGTTTTTATCACATTATTTAAAAGAATATATACATTTAATTACGTTTCTTTTTGAACTGACGTATATTCTGGTTTAAATTTTTGTTGTAGGGATGTATTTATTGCTAATTTTGAACGTTTTTAGTAGTTTTTAAAATATATTTTTTGTAGAAATCCAATACATATTTTCAAATTTAGAGCCCGCAAATGATGAACTATGAAGCCCACTAATGATACGAGCAATTAACTACTTCTATTTATACCTCTTTATACCTAGATGTCAAGTAATATGTTCGAAAAAAGCCGCCAAACGTTTATTGGCATTTTCTACAAGTCTTTTACTTTCGATTGATACTAAGTTGTCACAGAAAAAGAGGTCTTGTACTTTAAAAAAAAAAATATTAAAAAAAAATACTAATTTTTACACTACAAAGTACAAATCCTACATCTGATTACTGATATAATAATCTATAATCAGTACAATTGTGCAAATATTATTTACGGGTGCATTATTTCTTTTCTCTTCACTTAGAATATTAAAAAAAACACCTTGTTGGATTTTTTTTATCTTTTGTTAATTTAACACAACTTTAAATAACAAATCGATACATACAACGTCATCTATTGATATTTATTTGAACTCATTTTTCTTTGTTCGTGGTGAGACCCCAACCCTATGGTACGCTTTTTACGCACTTAGGTTTTATTTTTGTAAAAAATTTTGTGTTTGGAAGTCGGTTTGTTTTTAATAAAATATTTTTAATAAAACATTAATTATTTTGCTTCAGACTTAGCTCTATGACATTCTGTTTTATAGGTATTCTTTCCTTAGTCTAAGGTCTGAACTTAAACTAATACAAATACAATATGCTCGTAGCTTTAATCCCTACCTCTCGATATAGTGACGTAAATCACAAGTTCGAATATAAGATTATAAAATTTCTGCTTTTACTTTCATACGTTAATACATAAAGCGTTCAGTCACAAATATATTATCAAACCATTCGCACTGCCAAAATGTCGCGCCTAATTTTGACGTTATTTTTTTTAAATTTCGCTTTCAAAATGTCAAAGGCTCAAAGCAATTCAGCCGAAATTCTAATAACAAGTTTAGAAAAAAAATTAGAATTTAAACTCGTTGAGTATTCAACCAGTATTGCTAGATGGTTGGAAGGTATCAACGATAGACACTATAAAAACAGTGAATTAGGAAAATTAATACGATATGAAGAAATTAAGCCCAAATTAGATGGAAATGATATCGGTAAGTAATTTTCATATACACATTTGGAGTTGCATTAGCTAAATTAAGCCAGTACTTACAGGGGGGCGGCAGAATTATTTCCAAGGAAGTGCATCTGCTTCTTCACATTAATTTTTATTGTGTTTACATTCAAGAATTTTAATTGGTTGTGCTTAAATCGCATGAGAAAATCCTACTAATATTCTAAATGCGAAAGTTTGTGAGTATGTCTGGATGTCTGGATGTATGGATGCTTGTTACTCTTTTACACAAAAACTACTGAATGGATATAATTGAAACTTTACAATAATATACTTTCTAACCCGAAAAAATGTATGACTTTTATTGTTTATAAATTGTGTACTTATTGGTTTATAATAATACTAATATTATAAATGCAAACGTTTTTCATACAACATATTGATAATAATATCAGTATTATAAATGAAAAACTTTTGCATTTATAATACTAGTTCAATGCTAAATTATTACTATAGATATTTATTACTTTACAGAAGCCCGCGCTTCGAAGAAACTCACTATGGCGATGCTACCAATCATCTTCCACGTAGGAGCCATGACCACGTGGATGGTGGTGACCACAATTTTGGCCGCGAAATCTGTGGCCATTGGACTGATACTACTTGTATTTAAAATTGCTGTCAGCAGTGCAAAGGTATATATCCAAAAATCGATCTGAACGTAACGGGGTATGCATTTTTCTGGCATCTGTACATTAAATATTTTTTGGCAAATCTTATTGAAATACTCATTTTTATCGAGACAGAGGCCGAATCTATAGTTTTTAAAATTCTTGTGTGTCTGTCTGTCTGAGAACGCATCACGAGAAAACTACTGGACAGATTTTGATGAAATTTGGTAGGTATAATGATATGTAGTTATCCGAGTCAACATACAGGATACTTTTTAATGCAGAAAAATATGTCGTCTCTGATAAATCTATATTAAACATTAAAACATAATTTAAGTCTATTTATTCGTAAAATGCAGTCTACGAGGATTTTTCATTTTGTCAGTGGAGGATATTTCTGGTACCGTTACAATATGCTAGTAGTAAGTACATATAATTTAATTTTCACAGATTTCTTCATTCTTTACGGCGTGGAAAGTAAAGAATCATCACGAAGAGATGTCATGGTATCCCCATCATGACCACCACGGTAAGAGATCCATCAAATATCGATAAATATACCTACTATACAATAATCTTAAAAAACACGGTTTTGACCCACTGTAATATATGAGACTCGACAAAAGATACGAGCCCAAACTTGTAAATTGTTTACTCGTAAAAGCTCTTTATCCTTCTGAAGCAAATGATTTGCTTTAATTAAGGTCCACAAAGACTCCATTTTGCTTTATAACCTAGTTTTGTGAAATTTTAACTTTAAACTTACTTAAAGACGAAGTATGAAAATTTCAACATCACAGGTATTTATTTCATTTCACATAAGAACCGGCAATAAACAATTTTTTACCATGGTATAACATAATATTACTTAGAGACTTAGACTTAGAAATAATAACTAAACTCGAAATATTATAAATGTTTTAATTTAAAAATCCCATAAATCTTACTATTATTGTAAATGCGCAAGTTTGGCTGGATGTTTGTTACTTAGTCACGACAGAACGGCTGAACGGATCTGGATGGAATTTGGCACAGAGATTGATAATAGTCTGGAATGGCACCAAGCTTACTTTTTATCCCGTAAAAAAGTACGGTTCCCGTGGGATAATTGTTTTTGTTTTTCACTAGGGACAAAACCACTGAACTGAAATTTTGTAGGAATTATTTCTATTCTCTAAATTCCTGCCACAATTTAAATTTTATAAAAATTATATAAAGCGATTTGCTTGCAGGTTACCACTGAGGCTAACTGACGGTAAGAAACGTTCCTATGTAAAGATTTTGTTCTAATCAGTTTGTTTAAATACGAGTATATAGAAGTGCCAAATTACTGTGTCCGAAATAAAAGCCTCATTTAGTAAATATTTGACTATATATATATTTACTAAAAGCAATCAAATCCTTCGCCCAGTACATAATAAATAAAAGCATTTGCTCGTGACTTCACCCGAGCAGTTTGTTTATGTATAACTAGCGACTAACCAACGCTTCGCTTGGGTTCGTCCCTAATGAAAAGCAAAAACAAATCTATCCCACGGGAACCCTACATTTTTACGGGATTAAAAATAACCTATGTGCCATTCCATCCAAACTTTAACATTTATTATATTATTAATGGGATAACTCCTAAGGGTCATAGTAGGGTAAGATACGTAGCCCATACATATGTTTCTGTAATATTTCTTGAAGAAAAAGTCAGTAAAATATTATAAATAAAATGAGAAAGTTTGGATGGTGTTTGTTATTCAATTATGCCCGAACCGCTGAACTGATCTGGATGAAATTTAATTCTGATTATATTCTGGAACAGCGCATATATTATTTTTTATCCCGTAACAATATACGGTTCCCGTGGGATAGATTTTTTCACTAGGGACGAACTCGAGCAAAACGAGGGTGAGCAGCTAGCCGTGACCAGCGCGAAAGAGTAACAAACACACACAAACATACACACACAAATTTTCGCAGTTATGATAATGATGTCGACCCCTGAACGATTTTGGCCACGGCGGCCAATCTCACTGGGACGAGCCAAATGCACGGAACATAATTTATATTTGACACAGTACTCTATCTATTCCTGTCACTCTCAAAGTCCGTTAAGACGATAATTCGACATGACTCGAACTTTGAAGTATAGGTACTTCGAACTCAGGCAAGCAGTAACTGGGACCTTTTTAACAGGAAGACTTAATAATTAAACTTGGACCAACCCGGGACTCGAACCCAGGACCCCCAGATGTGCAGTGTAGCTACACACGTATATCTGCTTCTTCGCATTAAATTACTAAATAATCATTAAATGATTAATTTTACAATTTTTGTTTATATTTTATTTATGGTCGCAGATATCTAAATTTAAACAAAAAAATTACCAATACAATTTTATTTCTTTAACTTTTTCTAAATATTTTCGTTTATGGCAAGGAGGTTCCCTTGCAGTCCCCTTCCGGCCCATGAGCTAATACATGATGTTCTCCTGGCCGATTCCGGCCGCTGCGGCCAATCTCATTGAGATTAGTCAACTGCGCAGGAGATATTATAGTGCACAAATGTACGCGCAGACACAACGTGCACTCTCTATTCCTGTCACTCTCATACTCTGGTGGAACGACCACTCGGCACGACCAGTGAGAGTTAAGGCGTAGGACCGACGGCTTTACGTGCTCTCCGAGGCACCGCCAACTTCCCAACTCCGGGCTGTTACTGAGACTTACTATACAGAAATACTTAATAACTAAACATGACCCGACCCGGGATTCGAACCCAGGACTTCCAGGTGTGCAGCCGTACATGCTAGCCACTACACCACCGAGGCAGTTGCTAATACAAATAACGAGCATAATTCTAACTGGTTGTGTCGAAGTATCGTCCCATCCGACTTTTAAAATAGAAAGAATAGAGAGTGCACGTTGTGTTTGCAATGTAATATATTTTGCAGTTGGCTAGTCTCAGTGAGATTGGCCGTCATGGCCGGAATCGATCCGGATTCAGGACATTATTATGAGAAAATATATTTTTTTTCTACAGAACACAACGATCCCTACTATTATCCACAGAAACCAACCTGGAACGATTATAAGGCCATACCGCTTGAACACGAGCTGGTGTACGGTGAAAGCAAGAATGTGGAAAACAAACCTACATTTTAATTTTACATTTTTCTGTAAGATCTAATAAGTGTTTTTGGTAAGACCTAATTTAAAATAAAGTTATGTACACAATTCATGGGTTATTTATAGGAGATTTAAAATAACCTTGATTTCTGTGATCACTTAATATGGTGCGATATTTTGTACGTCATTTTGTATTTTAAAGGCGCTATTTTGTTTTTAAAAAAACAAAACCTAGCCCATAATTATCGCATCGTGTAGACGAAGCTTTATAAATTTAATGTAAGAAAACAATCGACAGTGGGGAAAAATGTCGACCGATAAATTTAATATTTATTGTGTTAGTTAAGTAAAATATTTAATATTTAATTAAATTAGAAGTCATTATTAGCTGTAAAAATTATTTTAATAAGATTTATTAAAAGATGTATTAATAAATAATAAAAACTATTTTCAAATTGACTTTTTCCTAGTTAAGTAAAATATTTAATATTTAATTAAATTAGAAGTCATTATTAGCTGTAAAAATTATTTTAATAAGATTTATTAAAAGATGTATTAATAAATAATAAAAACTATTTTCAAATTGACTTTTCATTTTTTTAATAATAAAAATATTTATATATACAATATAAATTTAATTTATAGTTATTTTAAATTCGAATAGATTAAAATGAAATTGTTTTTTTTTATATTTGCAAATTGAACTTTAATTATTTATTTGTGCTTTATCGATCAAAAACTACATATAAAAGTTCTATTAAAACTGTCACCAATTGTGTTTAGGTAATAATAAATATAATATGTTCAATATTCTAGTTGAAATATGTAAATATACAACTATGTAAACTAAACCAAAAGCGCAAGCTTTAAATGCAAAGCTTAAAGTAGTTTTCACAAAAAATATAAAAGCGCGCTCAAACGTTAAAATGAGCGCTCATTAGGTGAAGACATTTTTTATCGCTGATTGTGATGAAATTTGGTAACAAGCTAGTTTGAGACCCTGGGAAGGACATAGGATACTTTTTATCCCGGAAATCATCCCTTAAGGGAGTGAAAATGGGGATGAAATTTTGTATGGGGAATCAACCTAGGGAAGAAAGTCGCTAGTTAAAAATAAAACCATTTTCATTTGTCACATACAATTGTAATACAAGAACCACAGTAACAATATATCTAAGCACATTAATTTATTTTTATTCTGGACCGACATTTTATGTTTTTAATAAAATCACGGATCGGTATACTTAATCTGTAATAACTAATAAGTACTTTTTTAATTTCCTGGATATCCTACTAAATGTAACATCTAACAACATTAGCAAAATATATATTTCTTTTCCTATAGCTATGGAGGATAGAGGTAAAGAGAACCATCTCCGAATACAATAATTAAAAATTAAAAAAACCCCTACACGCAAATTGTCTTTTAACGATTACACTGGCACGCGTGAAGCACTTAATCGAGTAATCATACGCCAAAATGCCTTACATCATTTTGGGAAAGAGCTGATACTCTTACACGGCTGGACCGATATTAACCAAACATAGCTAAGAACCAACGCAAGGAAACTGGCTTTCAAATGACAAAAAACGCATCAAAATCGGTCCATTTGTTTGAGTTTTACGATGCCACATACAGACACACACACAGACATCGACGTCAAACTTATAACACCCCTTATTTTGCGTCGGGGGTTAAAAAATGTCCGTCGAAATGCATTTTTAGTTGGCACCACAAATTACCGAGTAAATTTTGAAAAAAAGCACCAAGTCAGTAGAGTAGGATTACATTCTCATAGCATTTGATTAGGTTATATTTAGTAACTTATTTTGAACTATGAAAATAAATGAGCTTTTGCTCCACTTTCATTAACTATTCAAATCACACAAAAACATTGTAGAATTTTTCCACTCAGTACACTTCACTATATCTACAATCTATAACTGCTACATTCATATTATACCCTGCATCTACGCTAGCGTCACACTAAAAAAAATTTGAACTTTTAATTAACCGCTCACAGGTGAACACTTTATCATATTATCTCCCATATAATATGGTTCTCCTTACCTCTGCCTTCCATACCTAACGCCAAATCAATCCTGTCACAGATAGCTAATATTATAATGAAAAAAATAATAAAATTGTAATAGGTTTGTTGTAATTGTGTCCATTTTTTTGGGTATTTATCAGCGGTGGTTAGATTCCCTCTGGTGGTTGTTTTCGGAACCAACATGAGTATATCATCTACTACTGGCAAATCGCAGAACTTCATTTCATTCAATTAAGTCACTCTTTAACTGACATTTAATATTTATGAAAAGAAAACAAAAATACCATAAATTATTAAGGATGGTTACTAGATAAAGCTATATTGTACTGAATACCATTTGAAAAAAGAAATTAAAGACTTCGCGAGCGCCTGACAGATGTGAAACATCGAAACTATTTAGTATAAAAGAAAGCATGACAGGATAGTTTTATATGCAGTAAAAATGGCATAATCAAAAATAAAATGTTCAGATTTTTTTAAAGAAAAAAAAATTTTCCATTTTAAAAATATATATTGATTTAGTACCAATATTAAAAATTAAAATTAGAGCTCAGCACGATAAGAGATAGGGAGGTCGTCGAGCCGATTGACGACGCGTCGCCATGCCAACAGCTGGTTTAACCCGCCGCATGAGATGTTTCACATCAAAAAAAAAATATTAACAAATTTTATATTAAAAACTGACATCCGAATAAATATATTAATTTTATTTAAATTGTACATACTTTATATTATGTGCTATAAAATATTACACATATGTTACACATTGACTGCAAAAGAATACAAAATTTTAACATGTAACAACTATAATGACCCGTCTAAAAGAACCTACTGACTCCATAATGTACGTCTATTCAATTCCAGGTCACAGGTTCGAATCCAGTTTGGTACAAAACATCACTACATACTCCCATGTAACAATATGGGAGCCGTTCCAAAAACACTTAACACCGCACAATCACTTCACTTTGTACCAGCAAAAGAACATCAGGACCCTGAGTCACTGCTCCTCCTCCTGGTCTCCAGGGTCCTGGACCTCGACGTCCTCACGAGCTCTTATCTCCAATTCGATGACCGGATCTGCTGTAGCCTCAGCCAAGTTAGTGACAGATTTGGATTTGAAGCACTGAAAGTCCACATGCCGACTTTTAGCCTCTTCCTTTTCCCAGGACATGTGGATGAAAGGTCTTTGAACGTAGTTGTATATGACTTCGGCTCTACCCCCGGGACGTTCTCGAACTTTCTCCTTGTATGTTGGATAACCTTCCACACCCAGTCGGATTTTCTTGAGGCCCCGATCCTTCATAACTTGCTTGGCAACGTCTCTGAAAAGCACATTTGATATATAAAAGTATTAAAATATAACGAGTGACTACACTTTAAATATATAATTTTAACTAATACAAAATACAAATGTTCATTTTTGTTTAGATTCATATAAGTGTCTTAAGCAACTTTTCACCTTTTTAATAAAAAAGGTTAAGGTGGCTCAGTTTTAGTGACCCTACTTGCTGTGCTAACGGTCGCGGGTTCGAGTCCCGCTTTGGGCATTAATTTGTGTGATGAGCACGAATGTTTGTACTCCAGTCATGGGTGTTTATATTTATAATATGTATTTATTTAAAGTTAAATATGTGTAGTGTATCAACTATCTGGGATCCGTAACACAAACCTCATTAGCCTCACTAGATGGTGCTGTGTGTCAATGTCCCAACATATTTACTTATTTAAATGTTCGGCAAACAAACAAACTAAAGACTAAAACTAATATACAAATTAAAAACTAACCTGTTTTCAATGTACTTAAAGAACCTATACAATGGCGTGGAAAGAACGGTTTGGCTGTATTCGTCACCCATTTGTGGTGGGTACTCCGGGTCCCACTCCACTGAGTCATCATCCAGGAGTACCACGACATGACACTCCCTATCTCCTCGCTGAGCTGACTCCACCATTAAAGGTAGAATGAGACGCTCAAGAAAGCTTTCGAATTGACGACGAGCGCCCTCGTTCGACAGTTCATGGAGAAGCCCACGTAGATTCTGGAATGGAATTGACATATCTCTATAATTATCAACAACTAGCGACTCACCTTCGCTTATCTTCGGGTTCGTCCCTAGAGAAAAAAAACGAGACGATCCCATGGAAATCTTACATTTTTCCGGGATAAAAAGACTATAATCTATCTCTGTGCCAAATTTCATTCAGATCCGTTCAACCGTGTTCTAACATGTTAAAACGTCTAAACTTTCACATTTATAATATTAGTAAGATTAATTTCACTTAAAAAAACTTTAAAAAAACTGACTTCCAGGCACTAAGATGTTTTCATTAAGATATGAATATCTAATCTATACATATAATAAAGTTGTAGCCGAATCTGCACATTAAATTTTTTTGGAAAATCTTTTATCGATACAGAGGCTGAATCTACAGTTTTTAGAATTTTTGTCTGTCTGTTACCGCTTCACGGGAAAACCACTAGACAGATTTTGAAGAAATTTGATACGATGATAGCTGGTTATCCGTGTCAACATATACAACGAAAATGTCTCATTTCTGAGAAAAAATACAAAAACTGCAATGTAAGAGTATACTAATATGTAAAACCTAAGAATTTGGTTTTTGGTCATCTGAACGCGGGCGGAGCCGCGGGCAATGCTAGTATATGTATACTTCACCTAAATTAAAATATTCTTTACCTGACATCTCACAGTGTTAGCATCAAAGGGGACAAGCAGATAGTCACATGCTTCCCTCAACTCTTGCACAGATACAGTCGGTGGACATCTAATGGTACCGCCCCTGTAATACTCCAGAATTGCCCGGAACACTGTGGCTGATATACCTTCTGCCACTTCATATTCACCCCTCTCATTGGGATGTGTGAATTCTATACCTGCAATATTCCTTTTAGTTAAATTTCATTGATTTCAAAAATGAATTAAAAATAGTACATTTCCAATTACAATCAAAAAGATAATGTTACTTGAGTACATTAAAAAATGTGTTTATTTTGTGTACAAATTCTAAAGTAAAAATAAATATTAATTACTTTTTAATATGAAATGTACAGAATTTAATTAATATCAACATAATTAGTTAATATCTCTCATGATCTGAAATAAAACTGCTCAAGTTTGAGTTACACTTCTGCTACTTAATATAACATTAATTATTTATAGTAAGCTAGCACAACTCACGGCTTCGCTTGCACTAAAACTACAAATAAACTCTAAAAAGGTAGGTTCCGTACAAACTATCATGACCTGTTTTACCCCCTTATGGGGTGAATTTTGAAAAATGCTTAAATACGTATTTACAGTAATTTTGATCATAAATATTTTTTTGGGTTGTATTATAATGTGTTTTCCCGTGGGAATGTGATAATGTCTCACGGTAAAAAGTAGCCTGCCTATGTCACTTTCCAGACCTCCAAGTACTTATACACGAAAAATCACGCTAATCAGTCATTCCGTTTCCATGTGAAAGAAGGACAAACAAACAAACTCACTCTCCAATTTATAATAATAGTATGAATAAATGTTGCAATGTACCCAATACTCAAGTCAACGAACTATAGTGATTTTTGAAAATTCTTTTCTTCAAGATTATGCATATTGTAAGTATACAATAAGCTCGATTAGCTAAGATTTTCTAATAGCTATATTTATATAATACATTCAAAATTGCAATTACATTTAAAATTCACGATATTAATTACACAACAAAGAAAATTCTGTAACCTCCACTAACTTCCTACATGAATGTTCTACAAACATTTATTATATTATATGAACTCATTATCATAAAATGTTTTTATTATACTGTGTAGGTGATGCTGAAATATATCTTAATATTCATTTAAAAATTATCACATCACAAAAGAAACTTTCTTTAAAAACACAATATTTTTTATATTTTTATTATAAACATAACAACTTACCAGAACTAAACATCCGTCCAAGCATGGTGTTAGGATGAGCTGTGAATTGAGCAGGATCCACAACAAATCTTGTGTCATCCACTACAAGAGTAATTTTATCTTGGCAGAGTTGATTCCTTTGCATCTTTCCTTCCTTCTTCACAGGGTCTTGGCTGGATGTTGATGGCATGTTAGATGGAATTCTTCTTATATTCTGACCGTTACGTTTGGACAGACGTTTATTACGTTCTTCCACGTCTCTTTTATACTCCTCGGTGTCACTACTGCTATCGGGATAAAAATACGGTCTACGCGTATCTATCATGGCCTCTTGGCCTATTGCTTGCGAATCGGACATGAGAGTACTCTGGACTCCGTTTTGAAAAAGTCCCCTCTTCTTGTAAGCTGTAATAATAATTGGATTTGGTGTTGAAAGTTTTCTTGACTCAATTCTCAAAACAGATTAATAAAAATGGCAAATATTCTATGAAAGAATGAATCATAGACACAGACAAGTGAAAATACTACGAAGAATAATGACACTTGGTGACTTGACATTTAAAATAGACTAAAGCCCGGTACAGACGCCCGAGATTGGTATGGTCACAAATCCAATAAAGTTTGAAGAAGAAAACTTTTATTAATAAAATAATAAATTTTGTTTATGTGTAATATTTTATTTAGATAATGGATAGATAAAAGTTCTGCAACGAAAAAATATACAATTTATATTTATCGTACCTTACCCTTAGTCATTCAACACGATTAAAAAATAGAAACTACTGTATCACACAGAAAGCGAGTAATTTCACTGTGATAAATTTTAAGTTTTGTCTTTTAACATTGATTTAAATACCTGTTTTCAATCAATTTTGAGTTTACAAAGTATAAATTATCGATTTCTCCAATTTTTTAAATTTTCAGGGTATTTTTACAAGACGACTATATAATGTTTTTATATTTTCAAAAAGTAGAGTTCAAGACGAAAAAATGACCCTATCTGAAAATTGAACAACAAAAATGTTCAATGTAAACGCCCACTAGAAGTTGGGGCTGATTTTCAGCCTTTCCAGACCATAAAACATACTTTTCTCGGAAATGGCTATATATTTCAATTAATTTTTTTTATTTATTATATGTATTTCGAAGATTACATTCCTTTAGTTTCATGGAAATCAAAACATTATTCTAGAAATTAAAAATTAAAAACCAAGAAACAGTTAAAAACCGAGTTTTTTGCAAATATCTCGAAAACTTTGAGGTTATTGTAAAAAGTGTTATTTATAAAAGTTGTAGATTTTTACTAGACCTATAGCTTTTGTATAAAATATTTTTCGATAGAACGTCACAGTAAGCCGGAAATTGAAAAAAAAACTATTTTTAAACGCTTTGCGTCCCCCCCCATTTCTCGGGGGTAGCTAAGTATAGAGGGCATTTTACAAATATCTATTCCTTATATACCTGCTAACATTTTAAAATCATAAAACTTCCGATTTTCAATATTTTGGATGTACCGATTGGACTAATAATAAAAGGTATTTTTGATAATAATGGAATAATCAATAAAGTAATTCTAAAATTTAAACAGGTAACATTATTCATGTTAGAAAAATTGTGTCGCACAGTGTTTATTCATTATTTATATATAGTTTATAAATAAAAGGATTTATAGATAACGTTTAAACAAACTAATTTTGTTGATAAAATTAAGTTTCCATTTATAACTGTAAAGTGTAAACGGTTATTGTTCGACCGACACGGTTGTCAGTTTACGCGCAATCGGCACTGTTGAAACGCGAATTAAAATCCCACCCATCCAAAGTGACTCGGTTGTTGACCTTCTCTCTGTCAAATCCAGGAAATTGGTTAAATTTTGTTGTTTTCTTAATTTTTTATATATTATTAAGTTAAATTTAATTAAACTCTCACAGTTGTGAATTAAGAGAGAAATGTGTAAAAACAATATTTGCGTAGAATCACTCATATTTATCATAAGTGTATAATCAGCAATTAACATTATAAGTAGAAGGCAGTTTTTACTTTTTAATTAAGTGTAAATCAATTATTATGGATCATAAAGAAGAGTATCACGATCCAGACTACCCTGAAGTCTCAGCGACTATAGTAGAAGAGCCGCCTAGTGAATCTGAAGATGACAAAGTTGTGAAAATTAAAAAGATAATTCGCCGCGAGTTTAAAAATGAATTGAATGTAAGAGAAAATGAAGTATTGCTTATAGATCAAAGGTTAGTCTAAATTTAATCCTATAATATGTATCATTGTAGCAATTCATTGCTCACGACCTATTTACGTGATGGAAATGTTATTGATTTACACAACATGTGATTGTTTAACAACATGTGTTTTTTTTAACAATACTCATAAATTTTGCGGGAATTGTTTGAGATTGTTTTCTATAAATGTATATATAAAATATATGGATGCTATTATAATTTATGAATTAATAAAAACATTGATGCATATAAAATAATTTAAAAATAATAACTTTTTTTTAAATACTCTTAATACTTCCCACTCAAAGTCTGTCTCTTTTTAATTATAAAAGATTTATTGTAATCTATATATTTTTATTATTATAAGAAGCCTGTGTTTTCCACTGTACGAGTAGGGCAAAGGCTTACTCTTTCATCACTTCTTCCTGTCATCCGTCATGTGCTATTTTCTTTTTTAAACATATTTAAATTGTTTGTATATTTATAAAGAATTATTTTAACATATTTTGTATCTATTTATTTAAAAAAAATATGTAATCCTGCATTTAGAAGTATCTACATTACAATTGAATTGAAATAGAGTTATAGTAGTGACATTATGTAAAAAAAAAACTTTTATTTGTAAGAGTTTATGTATGTATGTCATGTCTTATTTCAATTGATTAAAAGAACACACGACTGTTTCTTAACTAAAAAGTGATTCTCGCACGATATCGATTATATATGTTGGGATATTACCACACAGGACCATCCAGTTCCATGGTAAGCTACGAAGCCTGTGTTATGGATACCAGATATTTGATACACTACACATATATAACTTTAAATACATACATATTATAAATATAGACAATAAATAAATGCTCCCAGTGGGACTCGAACCCGCGACAACTGGCACAACAAGAAGTACACTACAAACTAAGCCATATGTGTCTTATAGATAGATTATTTTAGAATGTAATTTCTTTATTATAGAATGACAACAGCCCGAAGATATCTTCACCAAGTTAGATATGCTCTAGTCAATAACTTTTATAAGGACCAGAAACTGCAATTAACAAATGACCAGATTGAAGATGATGTTGCTGCTCAAACCGAACCTAGGGCCAGAGCTGAAGTGAGTAACTATTTATGCATAAACATACTTACATTCATATTATTATAAACATCTACATATGTATCTTATACTTATTACAAGCTGTACATTATGTATGCCTTTATCTATACTAATATTATAGGTAAAGTTTGTGAGTTTGTGATGATGTAGTTGGTCTCTGGATTTACTGAACCAATTTAGATGGAATTTGGTAAGAAGATAGTTTGAGGCCCTGGGAAGGACATAGTATACTTTTTATCCCGGAAGTCATCCCTTAAGGGGGTGAAAATGGGGATGAAAGTTTGTATGGGGAATCAACATAGGGATAAACCCGAACGAAGCGAGGGTGTGTCGCTAGGCTAACATATAAATATCTTGTGTCAGTGTTTGTGGTTATAATCCTCCGAAATGGCTTGACCGACTTTAATGATTTTTTTGTATATTTGGTAGGTATGAGAATAGGTCATTGTAGGGGAGCCCAAGAGGTGATTTTGGGATTTACCCAAGCGCGGCAGATTAACATAATGGGGGATACCTTGCACTCTGTTGAGTATCTTCACCATAATATAAGAGCACGCGTCTAGGGCAGCCGATCAAAATATTTAAAAAAATATTTTGTTAAGGTAGAAATACTTGAAACCATCAGATTAAGATATGGTGGGCTAATTACATCCTGAAAAGTGTGCAATTTAATAATCTGCCGATTTCCAAATGCGGGAGAGGCATAAATCGTACATAAATTTTAAAGTCGATATTTAAAGGCGACGGATATCTGTCGCTTTTCCCACCTAATTTATATTAAAGTTGAGATGCCAATTGTGTATCTTGAGTTTTGTATATCAATAGGTATATACAAACTAACAGAACCCGCGGCTACTGCTGCGATCAATCTACGAGAAAAAACTCTTTGGCTTTATCTAAAAAACTAGCGGCTTACCCTCGGTTCGCTCGGGTTCCCCTCTAGGAAAACAAAAACAAACTTATCCCACGGGACCGTACATTTTCCGGGATGAAAAGTAGCCTATGTGTTATTCCAGACTATAATCTATCTCTGTGCCAAATTTCATCCAGATCCGTTCAGCGGTTTGGCGTGGTAAGAGTAACAAACATCCAGCCAAACTTTCGCATTTATAATATTTATACAGATAGGGGGTGGGGGTAGGAGGGCGAAATATACTTAACGACCTCTGCTCTACCTACCGAATATTAAAAAAAAACATTAAAATCGGTCGAGCTGTTTCGGAAGAGTGCGACCACAAACACCGTGACAAGAGATTATTAAATTTAAACAATTTTTTACTGAACGTCATATTGAGTCTACTACCAGTTTGGAAAGAAGAAGCCTCAGACCTGATAAGAACTGGCGAAAGATAACTCTTTAAATTTTTTTTTTGAATTTGGCGATAGGCAATTTATATATTAGATTACGTATTGCAATCAGGTATCATCAATACTACGTGATAACCAACGTCGGTTGCATCCATCTGTACGCAAATTACTAGGCAAGAAGATTGTTGACATCGAAGAAATATTTCGATCGAGGGAACCTAGAAACAAGACGAGAAAAAATTATTATGTAAGTTGTTTAATATGTAACCACTTGTGCTTTAAGCTATTTAAAAACATCTCGAAAAGTCAATTATTTCTACTTTTTTAATTCAGTAGCTTTAACCCAAAAAAATTTTAGTTAAAAACCTAAAAAGGCCATTAGTATTTTAAAATTACCTAACTTTTCCTTCCAATAAAATATTAGGGTTTTCTGTACCCGAAGTGTGCCAACGGAACCCTATTACTAAGCATCCGCTATCCGCCTGTCCGTCAGAAGGTCAGGACTGTATCTCATGAATCGTAATAAGTAGAGAGTTGAAATTTTCACAGAGTGAGTATTTCTACAAACTGAAACTGTTATAACAACAAATAATAAAAAACCAAGGTGTCGAATTTCAAAAAGGCTGCCAAGCAAATTAAAAAAAAAAACGATTATGATCTATGGTACGGAACTCTTCGTGTGCGAGTCCGACTCGCACTTGAACGATTTTTATATTTATTTACTTTAACTTTTTAGGCTATGCTTCAACGTAAAAACTACACAATATCAGCGGACGCAACTACATCACTACGACCGAACACAGATAAAGAAGAGAAGATAGAAGTGAAACAAGAATATGATAAAGAAGAGCCTGGCACTAGCAAACCTAAGAAGATACCCCGACAGATCGACCCTAAGGTCAATAATGTGGTCACACTGGATGAGGTTACCAGGAATAAGAAGAAGCATAGATATAGGATAATTATAGGTAAGGATGTCACCTCTTTTTTTTATTGTTGGTAAATGCATTTATGTATACCACCTGTATACATACAGGTGGTTATATGGGACTCAATGGCTAAAAAAGCCGGTATTGCCCATTAAAACCCAACAGAACCTTCCCTCGTCTTAATGGCACACCGCGTACCGAAGAGGGCCACCTCCCAGTGTGTCTCATGGCTTCGCGCTCGGCTGGGTTGCCGGATGCTAATGAGCCCGTACATTATTATGAATATTCATTAACAAGCAGACCAAGTAGGCAGACTTTGCCCTATTAAATATCAGTCTTTTGTAACGTCCCTCTGGCTGGGCACAGGCCTCCCTTTAATGCAAGGAAAATTAAACAGGTTTTTGAGCCTCACAAATTAAAACAAATCAATAATGAATTAAATAAGGCATGTTAGGTATATTACAATAATATATTTATAGTATATCATATACGGAAAGAATGTATTATATATTTGTCAGACAATAGCTACGGTTACCATGGCAACATGGCAACGTATTCTATCTCATTCTTTCGCCGGCTTAATCCTATATTATATTTGTGTTGTACTCTTGTCTCGCATTTCCGTTTCATAGAGTTTCAAATCACAACGATTCTAAAGAAGTTACACTTCAACAAAAATACCATCCCTAAGGGTGGAAGAATACCTAATGAGTTTTTTTTTCTTCTACTAATTGTCATATTGTCTTGAAACTTCGCATGTGTTTATATTTCTATTGATAGTGCAGTGATACGGTATCATCGAACTAATCTGATGGTAAGCCCAGAAGGTGGATAGTTTAGGAAGTATCACTTCAGGCAATAATTATTAACAACCCCCCTCCCCCTCCCCCCATTCAAGGCAACACGTCCAAGTACGCCCCGCCGGCGTCCCGCCAGGACCGCAGCACGCACAAGTGGCTGCTGTACGTGCGCGCGCCGCCGCCGCGTGACGCCTCGCGCGTGTTGCGCGCCGTGCACGTGCAGCTGCACCGCAGTTACGCGCCCCACCACGCCGTCTACATCGAGTGAGTGTCACCTGTCATCTGTCATCTGTCAACTGTCATGTGTGGTGCAGTGGTGTATTACTATTCAATTGATTTCTCTTTCATAAAGCGTGATGACATGAAGTAGATTGGTCGGTAAAAAAAGAATATATAATGTAATATTACGCGCCGCACTACGCCGTATCTATCGAGATAGTGTCACTGTCAACTGTTATCTGTCAATGTCATCTGTCATCATTTCTTTTTCATAAAGCGTGCCAGTTGAGCACAGTTTATGTCGCCAATGTTATGTAGAATGGTGAGAAACGAAGGCGATTGCTCAGTAAACATATATTATCTGATATAACGGGGACCGTGCGCGAAATGTACACGGCAACACTATTGTTCCTGTATTGTTTTATTTCTGAAGATAGTGGGGTCAAAACATTCATTTGTATACACAGAATATTTATAAAAATGGATAAATATAATTTAATATGGATTTTAATAAGTTATCAATAATATTGTACATGGTCAGAACTCAGAATAGTGGGAAAGGTAAAAAAATATTCAATTCCAACCATTTTTATGGTGTAGTGGAAAAAATTAATCAAAATGAAACTGTCGTCTTAACCGCAAAAGTTGTGCCACAAACAAGTGTGTCTAATGTTTATGATGTAAAAAAAAATACAGTCGAATTGAGAACCTCCTCCTTTTTGAAGTCGGTTGAAAATTATGATATGAATAAAATAATTACTCTAAAAAACACTAAGAGTAATCAAATTAAAAAAAAAAACAATTTTTTTCTTGATGTTGACATTATTGAAAAATGATCCCAATAGATTCAGGTCATTGCCTCTAGTTGGCGTAAAAGTATACACGCACGGTAATATAATCATTCAAACTATTTTATTATATAATATATAAATACTAGTATATCATTTACAATACAATGCAGTACAAAGTATCCTGTATGTTGACCCGGATAACGAACTATCATCATACCAAATTTCATCAAAACCCCTCCAGTGGTTTTTCCGTGATGTGGTTACAGACAGGCATACCGCCTAAAAACTATTGTTGCGGCCTCTGTATCGATAATAATGTTTATTTCAATAAAATTTTCCAAAAAATATTTAATGTACAGATTCGGCTCAGCTACAACTTTATTATAATATATGTAGATATAAGTTATAACTATGTATGTATGTTCTAGTAAACCTCCGTTCCAAGTGTCACGTCGCGGGTGGGGGGAGTTCCCCGCGCGTGTCACGCTGCACTTCACGCTGCCGGACATAAACCGTCCCGCCACCGTCACGCACACCATCAAACTGGACCGCCATTACACCGGCTTACAGACTTTGGGTTGGTGCTTTATTTATTATTAGCTGTATCTCTTCAATCTACAAAAAAAACTTTTTGGCTTTTTGTTATACAGCTATGTATTTGTGTAATATTGTCCAAACAAAAATAATAAAATCGCGATAAAAAATTGGGGGTAGGGGTAGGAGGGTAAAAAAATTTCATTAAAATCGGTCGAGCCGTTTCGGAGGAATGCGACTACAAACACAATGACACGAGATATTTACATATTAGATGTAAAATATATATTGATATTACAGGTGCTGAAACAATAGCTGATGTATGGCTGTACAGTACACCGGACATGCTCGAATGTGAATTTAAACCAGAAGAAGAAACTTACCTGGAAAAGCCCATACAACAAATAAAACAAGAAGTTGATGACACAGAAACTGAACCAGTTACCCCTAAAATCCAACCGGTTAAAACTAAAACTGAGTTAGTAAAACCCAAAGTTGAACCTAATGTCAGTCAAAACGACAGTTGGCTTGAATTTTTCAATAAAGACACCACAGAAGTGAACGTTGACGAGATGTTAGTTAAAAATATTAAACGTGAAAATGAAGTTGAAGCCAAATGTGAAACTGAAGTCAGTGGAAATGAAGTCACTCAACCTTCAACAGGTTTGACGAACGGCGATAAAATCGTGAACGAACCTAAGAAGAGGATAATGAAATACATTGACCCGACCACAGGGAAAATATATTATTTGGAAATGGACAGAAAGTTAGATTTGAGCAAAGTTAAGGAGATCGTGATAAATTCTCAAGGAGAAGTGCAGACAGCTAAGATTAGTCCAATCAAAAACGGTTTGAAGGCGAAAAGGTTTGTCTCGTGTTTGAAACCAGAAGTCAAAAATCAATTACGAACAGAAATAAAGGTTAAAACTGAGTACAGTCATATTGAAAATGATCACTGTTACTTGAAGACTAATTGGTGTAAACCAATAGAAGTAAAAAGAACGTATTTAGATGATTTAAAAGGGACTGTGGCAAAATTTTCATGCACTTACATGGTGGTAAATTTTTTGCTAAAAAAGATGGCGCTGATATCAGATAGTATGACGGATGTGAGTCTGCCGTTTGTAGTACAAAATGAAGATAAATATTGGAAGTTGGATTTTACGAAGCGTAGGAACATGGAGGTGATTATTGTATCTATATTATGTATGCGTGTAGATTTATTTAACATTCCACTGTTGGGCGTGGGTTTTGTTGTTGGGACATAGCCCACCACGCTGGCCAAGTGACGCGGACTCAGCATGTCTTTGGAAAACTTGCTAGGTTCTCTCAGACATGCAGGTTTCCTCACGATGTTCTTCTTCACCGTAAGACAAGTGGTAATCATGTTGGAAATGATTCGCACATGAAAATATCAGAGGTGCGAGACCCGGGATTTGAATCCGCTTCACTCGGTTTCGAAAATAAGCGCGTTACCACTGGGCTACCACTGCCTTAAATTTTATTTATGTATATATAATCATATACATACATCAAATCTCCACTATATTTTTAATACAGGAGCTAAAATGAGGATATCGGGACTCTACAATGCGTACTAGTAAAATTTTCGAATCACAATTCTTGGCACATATGATTCGTTTTGAAGAATCTCATACATTATAGTTAATCAAAAACATGTTATTTAGTTTTTTTAGGGTTCCGCACCTCAAAAATGAGAAACCCTTATAGGATCACTTCGTTGTCCATCTGTCTGTCTGTCTGTCTGTCTGTCTAGACCCTTTTTCTTAGAAATGCATGGAGGTATTATATTGAAATTAATATGAAATACTCAGGTCTGCAATCCCTTGAAGCAGTGAAACAATGAAACTTTTAAATTAATGCAATCAAAAGATACGGTCGTGTATGTATCGTAAGGAAATCGAAACCTATAGGGTATTTCCCGTTGACTTAGAATCATTTTTGGTAAGAAGCTATGTCTTTTAGTACAAGAAAAGGAAAAAGTCATACATCACAAAGGATTTTTTTTGCGATTATAAACTTATTTTAATGTTTCGTGCTACCGGAACCCTTTGTGCGAGTCAGACTCGCACTTGGCTGATCTTTGAAGTGACTTCTTTAGCCGCGTTGAGTGATTTTTGCATTTAAAAAAAAACTGTTATTTCCAAAGTCATAAGTTTCCACTTTTTTGGGCATCATGACTGGCTATTTTTTAACAACTTAGTTATATATTAGTTTTAATGTTTCCAGTGGTCACGGGCAAAATTAATCAACAAGATACTAACAGAGCAATTCAAAGCCGAACCAAATAAAGTGTGGAGGACGAAGCAGATCTTAATATTCTCAAGGCTACATGGCTTCTATCCTGTGAAGGCAGAAACAGTTCTAAAGCAAGACGATACAAGCGAATGGTCATCTTGGGACGATTTAGAAAATTCCAGAAAAACTGAATCTAACATAAGAAAATTATATCCGGACTCGAATAACATAACAAGTTTAACACTATTTAACAGCGACAGATATATGCAGTGTAATGAAACACGCATTTTAAGTGATTCGGATGAAGAAATTGATATAACAAGTGATGAGCAAGTGAAAGTGAAAAGTGAAGTGTTGCCAGACTCAACAGATATGTTAGAAGTGTTGCCAGTACAGTGTAAAGAGGATAAACTGAAGTTCTTCTACATTGAAAGCAAGTGTGCTGATATTGGTATCGAGTTGAGGAATGAGGATGTTGGAGAGGGATATAGCTATAGGTTAGTTATGTTTTATTATTTACTTGACGACACGTTTGGCTCAGTTTGTAGTGACCCTACTTGCTGTAGCAGCGATCGCGGGTTCGAGTCCCGCTGGGAGCGTTCATTTGTGTGATGAATATGAATGTTTGTACTCAAGTCGTGGATGTTTATATTTATAATATGTATGTGTTTAAATTTATATATGTGTAGTGTATCAACTATCTGGTATCCATAACACAAGCCTCGTAGCTTACCATGTAACTAGATGTAGCTGTGTGTTAATGTTCCTATATATTTATTTTATTATTGAAGTAAAACTTCTTTAAGCGCTCCATGAGAGGGATATTTAAATGAGCAATGGAATCATATCATATATTGTTAAAAAATTATTGACTTGAAATTTTTTTTATATAGATTTTTTTTTTCATTAAAAAAATTGCATTCCTGTATTTTAAGTTATTGAAGGACTAACAAATATGAACATAACAAACAAACAAATAATTATTGTAAGTGTGGTAGAAGTGAAACTAAATATTATATATTTGTCAGACAATAACAACAACGGTTACCATGGCAACATGCCAGTGTATTCTATCTCATTCTCTCGCCGGCTTAATCCTATATATTTATATGTTTGTCTCTTTCTAGTATCACATTTTCGTTACATCGAATTTAAAATCACAACGATTCTAAAGAAGTTTCACTTCAAGAAACAGATTGTAGTTTTTATAATATAAAACATATATCATTTCTTATATTTGCAGTGCGGTTCATGCAGTATTATTGTCAGCAATGAAGAACTTTGCAGAAGACCTGCTCAGGTCTGCCCTCGCCGATCAGACCTCCATGGCGAATGATCCACAACTACCTACTATATGGACTGGGTTGGTTTTGGTTTTTTGTATATGTATGTATGTATGTGTTTATATATGTCGGTTAGATAAAGAATGGGATTGTGAAGACGCCATTTTTAATACAATGTTTTTTTTTTTTGAAATTCCGGCACACTTGGTGAATGAGAGCGAGACGGTAAGGAGTCGAATGTTTCGACCGGTCACGACACTTTATTGTATACTGAGAACACTGTGTGTGACGTCATCACAAGTACCAGGCGAGCATGAGTGCCGAGGAGTACCTAATTCGCATGCACTCGTATGACGGCGCCCTACATATATATATACATATACTAGCGACAAACCATTGCTTCGCTCGGGTTCGTCTCTAGCTTGATTCCCCATACAAACTTTCATCCCCATTTTCAACCCCTTAAGGATGATTTCCGGGATAAAAAGTATTCAATGTCCTTCCCAGAGTCTCAAACTATCTTCTTACCAAATTTCATCTAAATCGGTTCAGTAGATCCAGAAGAGATTACCCCCTACACCGTCACAAACTCACAAACTTTATCTCTTTATAATATTAGTATAGACAATGGATACTCATTGCTGGTTGCTTGATGGTGGCTCGCAGTGCTCGTGACCATATTGTCATCAGATGTCATGAGCCGAAGGCAGGCCGTAGTGTGACGTCATCACAAGTACCAGGCGAGCATGAGTGTTGAGGAGTTCGCATGCACCCTTATGACGGGAATCTACATATACAATGGACACTCCTTGCGTTGTTTCGTGCTCCCGACGGAGGCTCGCAGTGCTCGTGACCGTTATTGTCACCAGATGCTATGAGCCGAAGGCAGGCCGTAGTGTGACGTCATCACAAGTACCAGGCGAGCATGAGTGTTGAGGAGTTCGTATGCACTCGTATGACGTCGCCCTACATATATAATAGACACTCCTTGAGGTTTATGCTGCCCTAGTACTACAGCCAATTTTTTTTATGAGCTAATTTTGGAGCCAAGAACAGACAGTGAACTTCCATATAGTGGTCTCACTGATCGACTTTTTTTTTTGGTTCTTGTGAGTTAATGTGATAACTAACTTGTAAAAGTCTAATATTGTAATATTTTTTTTTTAATTACAATATAATTAATATTCAATGAACAAGTTACATATATACAGATAAATAAAATTGAAGTGTCTGTATGTAATGTCAAAATATATGGTATTATTGTATAGGGTATTTATAAGAAAAACACAGTTTTTGAAAATTTTCATCTGTCTGTTCGTTTGTTCCGGCTAATCTGCGAAACGGCTGGGCCGATTTTGACGGGACTTTCACTGGCAGGTAGTTGATGTTATAAGGAGTAACTTAGGCTACTTTTATTTCAGTAAAAGAATTAGGGTTCCGCTCAAAAAAATTAAAATATACCTATGCTAATATTAAAATGTATAGATTTTAAATTGATATGAAAACATCCGGTGTCCCATACAGGAGTGATTCCCGTACACGCGTGAGGCTCGAGCACGTGTGGCGCGCGGTGAGGGGACGCCCCGCCCTGTCCCGTGCCGCGCTTGGCGCCCGCCGCCATGTACACCATGCTGTGTAATAAATGTTCTATGTACATATATATGTGTTTTATTTCGTCTTCCCCATAAACAACACATACAAACTCACATCAAACTTGGGCCTTTATCTATACATATAATAAAATTGTAACTAAGCCGAATCTGTACATTAAATATTTTTTTTGGAAAATCTTATTGAAATAGACATTATTATCGATACAGAGGTCGAATCTATAGTTTTTAGAATTTTTGTCTGTCTGTCTGTTACCGCATCACACAAAAACCACTGTAGGAATTTTGATGATTTTTTTTATGGTGATAGCTGGTTATCCGGGTCAACATATAGGATACTTTTTACTGCGGGAAAATATCTCATTTTTGAGAAAAAGTACAAAAACTGCATTGTAACAGTATACTTTATAATGGTCATTAGAACACGGGCGGAGCCTCGGACAATGCCAGTAAAAATATATATTACAGAAGTCGTTTGAATATTTTTAAAATATATAAGATAACATTGAAAATGTTGTAATTTTAAATTTAATCTTTTCGATGTTTATTTTAAGAGTGGTTTTTTAAATAAAAATATTAATGGTTTAAATAGTAATTTTTTATACATATTATAAATTTTATTTTTACAATATCAATGAAATAAAATTATATTACAGTTTTCGTTGTTTTTAAACATAAACAAATGGCAGTAATGAGAAGCAGCTAGTTGTTTTACAAATACACATTTTACAACGTAAAAATAAGCAAAAAACCTAAATGTTTATATGAAATTATTAAAAATTAAAATGAATATGTTGGGACGATAAAACACAACGCCATCTAGTTCCATGGTAAGCTACGAGGCTTGTGTTATGGATACCAGATAGTTGATACACTACACATATATAACTTTAAATACATACATATTATAAATATAAACACCCAATACTGGAATACATTCGTGCTCATCACACAAATGAATGCCCCCAGCGACACTCGAACCCGCGACCACTGACACAGCGAGTAGGGTAGGAAATGAATACCTATATCAAATATAATTGTTTTTACATTAAAAAGGGATGCACTAATTTCGATACAACTTTTAGTTTTAATTAAAAATTTTATTTTACCTACCAAATATTTTTTGTAAAAACAGCCACAGAATAAAAAGAATGTTTTGAATTGGAAAAAAAGTCGCTATTTAATATATTGTTGAAATAAAAACTATATTTAGTGAATAAAATAGTTTAATTTCTAATTTCCTAAACCATTATTTTTATGTATTTTTCTTACCGACTTCAAAAGGGAGTGTTTTTTTGAAATCATACTTCTTTTGGCACGTTTGGAAAAAATATGAGAATAAAATTTTTACGATTCGCGCGCACACCGACAGCCAAAAAGCGACATGATGAAGTTAGCTGCATTCCCTTTACAAACAGAGTTGTGACATACGGGATGAAATCTTTAGATATTTGTGTTCTGTTACGCCAAAGAAGTATAACTTCTTACGTGCGTATATAAGTACACACACACACACACGTTTTTTTGTAATACAATATCTTGCCAAATTGCGCATCGATGTTTTTTAGAAATTTATAGAAAAACTTCCACCTCAAAGAGTGCAAAAATAAGTTTTTAAAATTGATAATTGAATATTGAAATTAATAGCGCTGTTATATATTTTGCTTGGATGATGTAAACAATAACTATAAGGAAAAGTGCTTAAAAGGTTTAATAAAAAAAATTTTTATATAAAAAAAAATATTAATATAAAAAAAGAAAAAACATTTTTTTACCAATTTCACAAAAAAGGCAACAACTTAGTTCTTCTTTTAAATTTTTACTATTGTTTTTTTTTAACGAACTGATTATACCTAAAGGGTAGTTCCAAATCATTTTTACAGCGTTTTTGAAGTCAGTATAGCTTTTTAGTTAAAATTATCTAGTTGTGTAGTAGCACTACATATATATTCTATTTGATTCCCGGTTGATGCAAAACTAAATTACTATCTACAAAGGAAACAGCGAGAACATTATACTTATTTTTATTGAATTTAACGGATAACAATGACGACCTGCAAAATTTTCTAAGTCACTTCTATTTTGTACATATCGAGATTTGCCGAACATCTTACATGGATTGTTGTTTATCTGGAAAGAAAAAATAAATATTATTATTATTTATTACTAGCAGAACCCGCGGCTTCGCTCGCGCTAAAACTACAAAAGAATGTCTAAAAAGTAAGTTTCATACAAATTTTCATCCCCTATTTTAACCCGTTATGGGATGAATTTCGAAAAATGTTTATTAATAAAAAAATCACGTAATTCTGATCATAATTTTTTTTGTATTATATTATAACGTGAAAGAAAGACATACAAACAAACACACACTTTTACATTTATAATATTAGTATGGATCGAAATATTTGGATATTGCTCATACTAAAACAGTAACATCGCGATTAAAAATAATGGGTGGTAGGGTTATGTAATGTATTCAGCTCTTTTTTTTCGTGTCCCACTGCTGGGGGTGGGCCTCCCTTCAGTACGAGGGGAATCAGGCCATAATTCACCACGCTGGCCGAGTGCGGGCGGACTGAGCATATCTTTCGAAAACTTGCTAGGTTCTCTCAGACATGCAGGTTTCCTCGCTATGTTCTCCTTCACCGTAAGACAAGTGGTAATCATGCTGGAAATGATTCGCACATGAAAATATCAGAGGTGCGAGACCCGGGATTTGAACTTGCTTCACTCGGTTTTCCAAGCGAGCGAGTTACCACTGGGCTACCACTGCTTTTACACACCCGGGGATTCCCCCAGTACGATTGCCATGTTTAGTCGCCATCGTGAGGCAACAGTGATAGTATGGTGACATGTAATAATGTCCAACCGACCGATATCGGCCACGGCGACCATTCTCACTGAGACTGGCCAGCGCAGAAGATATTGTATAGTATAGTGCAGACACAACGTGCACTCTCTATTTCTCACTCTCACACTGCGGTGGGACGCCATGAGACACTCGAGGTGGCACCAGTCGGAGGTGTGCAGGTGAAACACCGTCGACATCCCAATACCGTGTTACAACTGAGAATATCTTAACAGAATTTTTTTTATTAAAATTGATCCGACCCGGGACTCGAACCCAAGACCTCCGGATCAGCAGCCGTACATGCCAGCCACTATACCACCGAGCATGGTGACAGATATACGTACGCGGGTACGGTGTGGGGAAGCAGGGGAGTGGGCGTGGGCGTCGCGGATGGGGCGCTCTCTTTGTTGGTGGGACGCTTGTCTACTTTAACTTTTTCCCCATTCATGATGGCTTTGATGTCGTCCGCGTCCAGGGTTTCGTATCTGAAAAGAATTATACTATTACTAGCGGACCCGACAGACGTTGTCCTGTCTACACGTCTTTAATTTGAAAATTTTAAAATTTTTTTTTTATAATTTTTTTGATGAAAATTATTATTCAAATTGTGAATCTAAACCATTCCCAGATCCCCTTGAACACACACAAAAAATTTCATCAAAATCAATAAAGATTATTATATAATACTAGCGACTCACCGTCGCTTCGCTCGGGTTGGTCCCTAGTAAAAATTTAGGTTTGTATGTATTTTTAATGCCGAATCATAATTTAAAATTAATTTAAAAAAAAAAATTAAAAAATAAATTTATGAGGTGGACCACACTTATCAGTTAGGGGGTATGAAATATAATAAAAAAAAATGTCTACATCCTATTCTCAGATATACTGAATATACACACAAAATTTCATTAAAATCGGTCAAGGCGTTTTGGAGGAGTTTAGTTACAAACATTGTGCCACGAGAATTTTGGATGGCACCAGCTATTCAACCATCTATACAAGATGACTGATTCAAACAACACGGTTTGACGACACGTTTGGCTCAGTTGGTACTTGCTGTGCCAACTATCGCGGGTTCGATTCCCGCTGGGGGAATTCATTTGTGCGATGAGTACAAATGTTTGTGCTCCAGTCATGGATGTTTATATTTATAACATGTACATATATATATTTAAAGTTAAATATGTGTAGTGTATCAACTATCTGGTATCCATAACACAGCAGGCCTCGTAGCTTACCATGGAACTAGATGGTGCTGTGCCTTAATGTACCAACATATTTATATTTATTTATTTCTACACTGGATTAAAATATGTAATAATGAGTGGACGTACTTAAGCAAGGCATCTGCGAGGGCGCGGTGCTCCTTAGCGTGAGTTCGTAGTATGGCCTTTGCACGCTCGTAGCTCTCCGATAGGATCTTCTTTATCTCCGCGTCCATCTGCACAATACAATATATATATATAATATAAATAATTCTTTTACTGTAATAATAAGCGAATATAAAATATGAGGGAACATAGGATCAAACATAAAGACATATGTACATACATGTAAGTCCAACACACAACCTTCATTTGGACTTCGCAGCAGCCGAGTAAAAAAAATAGTTGTGAAATGTGGGGTGTTATTCCATTTCGGTTTTTTATTTTTGAATGGTAAGTAAGGAGGTTTGATCATATCTACGTTAGGAATTTTATAAAATTCCGGCGACGCACGTATATATACGTGCTTGTGTGCGCATGCATGCGTATTTGTGTGTGTGTGTGTGTCTGTATATATGCGTATTATTTTAACATTATAAACAAACACTTCAATTTTATTCAACTGTATATAGATTCAATTTTAATGAAACCGTTAAAGTTATCTCTTGGGTCCTGACGGATTTCAAATACTGCCCATATCCATGAGGCCAAGTGCGTACGTACGCGTGTGTGTGCGTGTGTGCATGTGTGTGCTTGTATCTGTTTGTATGTTTGTGTGTGTATGTGTAATATGTATACACTCACCAGCTCGTTGGTATACGGTCCTAGGTTCTCCGGCGGGCGCGCGGGGTCCATGGTACGAAGGCCCACCTTCTCGCTCATGCCCCACTCCCGCACCATGTGGCACGCTATGGACGTCGCCTGCTTCAGGTCCGACGACGCTCCTGACAATATGTATATTATGATGTATTCATTAATATGTTTGTTCATATAAAACCTTTAGAGTGTAACAAATAGAACTATTTGAACACGGCATTAAATGTTGAAAACTTTATAAATAGCATAGACGTTTAAACTATGCATAATAAATAATGATTTGTATCGACTGGCACCGACTTCGAAAATATCTCATTAGATATCTATTCCAAATGAAAACCGGTGTTAAGTTGTTATTTTTACATTTTAGTACCTGAAAGTCGATTTTTTTGAAAGTTTCGATTTTTTCATTTTTAGTGTAGATGTAATAAGCAGGTAATTTGTAAGAAGAAAGGTTTTTAATAACTTATTCGATTAAGTCATTCACTTAAAAATAATTTATTGTTAAATTTAAAAAAAAAAACGATCGACCGATTTCGATAAAATTTATATGGGACCACCTGGGAAGTACCCTTTGCAACAAAAAAAAAAAGAATTTACCAAATCAGTTCAGGCGTCTTTGAGTAATCGGTGAACATACATAAAAAAGAGAAAAATCAAAAGATTCCGACGAATTGAGAACCTCCTCCTTTTTGGAAGTCGGTTGAAAAACCCAGATGAAGAAACTTAAATGCTGTTTTTTTTAAAGCGTATTATTATTTTGATAATGGCATAGGTTGTAAACCAACCGCAATAAATCTTTATATATCCACTAAATGCATACCCACACAGAACCTCCATATAACGCAGGTAAAAGAAAAGTCGAATTTAGATCTAGTCGGCTCGCGGCTCGTGATGAGTACAAAGTAAGTATGAATATATATATACATATCGTTCACACTCATTATGAACCGTTTACCATAACTTTAATAACATTTTTATACTTACTACAGACATAACAAAATAAAATATACAAATATAACATTTTTTTATAATGCGTCGCTTACACTCCAAATTTTTTGAAAATCGCTTAAAAATAAAGACGAATCGAGTACTTACCTGTTATTTTTTGAAGTCAGTAAAAAAAATCACATATTAAATGGGTGTCAAAGTATTGAGGAATCCGTTTGCGACTTAATACCTAAAATCATAAACTTCTCTTTGTGTGTAATTTTTCTTTGTGTGTATGTATGTTCCCTATAGACTATGACAGCTGGGGCGATTTTGATGAAATTTTCAGGCAATCTTCAGATTAGCCCAAAGGGTGATCCTGTGAAGTTTGGTAGCGATCCGAAGGTTGTTTGTTGTGCTGCAAATCTACACATATAATAAAACTGTAGAGGACGAATGTTTGTACATAGAAAAAAAAGCTAAAAACCGAGTCAGGGGGATGTAAGAAAAGAAATGTAACAAATCCAGATTTTTTCATTTTTTTTTGTTTCTCTGTCTGATTGTACAGGCTAAACTCCGAAACTGTCGGACCGATTTAAATAAAATTTTGCACGGTGGTATCTTACAAACCCGGTCAACATTTTAGATACTTTTCATCCTGAAAAATTAAAGAGTTCCCGTGGGATAGTTAAAAAACTATAGTAACTTAAACAGCTTAGTACACAACAACTTATGCACTTTAGTAACATTGAGCAGGCTGATACCTTCTATTGCCGACAAACAACAGGTTACTTCTTATCCCGGAAAAATGAACGACTCCCGTGGGATAGATCTGTTTGTGTTTGTTGTAAATAAAAACATGTATAAAACTATTTTTCCAACAGAAACTGTCTTGACAGATGTATTTACCTGAAGTGATCTTATCAGGCCCAAAGACCAGCTCCTCAGCCGCCCGGCCACCCATCATGGTGTCCATCATCGCTAGCAACTGCTGTTTGGTCACGTGGTATCTGGATGTTAATTTAAATAGTTATAAAATATATGTGTTTGCGTATGATATGTAAATAATAAAGTTAATGAGTGGCTAGCCTATTTGTGTAATGAATTTCATCAATATCGGTAAAGTCATTTTAGTTTCAAGGAGTAACATACACACACAAACACACACACACACACACACAAACGCGCGCTTTTGTATTTTTATACAGTCCGATTAAAATATATATTCTTATTAGTAGGAAAAAAGTTTGTAATTAAAAGACCAACGGCAACGACAAACAAACGAGTGATCATCATTATTCAAGAATTACATCAAGTGGTATTGATATTTCAATACAATTTCAAGTTTAGCACGATTAAGTCATCCTTAAGGTAGAACTTATCTATACAGACAAATTGATGTGTCTGTTTGTAATGTCAAAATAACAGCTTTTTAATAATAATAATAATAATAATAAATAGTATTTATTGCCATAAAAACAGTAGCAAATGTTAACAGAATCAGTAAGGCTTAAAGTAACTTATGGCAAAGGGTAATAACTCAGCTAATGCTGCTAAGACCTAAATCTCAAGCAGCGCTGATTTTCAGTTACTAACTGCATATGAAATTATATACAGTATGTACTTATAAGAAAAACACAATTTTTAAAATATTTCTCTGTCCGTTTGTTCCGGCTAATCTCTGAAACGGCTGGACTGATTTTGACGGGACTTTCACTGGCAGATAGTTGATGTTATAACGAGTAACTTAGGCTACTGTTAATTTAGAAAAAGAATTAGGGTTCCGCTCAAAACAAATCAAACGTACCCATGCGAAGCTAGTTGCTAGTTAAAAATAGAAATATACCTTCTATTTTCAAGTCGGTGAATTATTTTAATATTTTTACCTCTCTTTGGCGGGTATGTAGGCGGTGTGCCCGAGCGAGGGCCCGCGCGGGATGATCGTCACTTTATGGAGTGGATGAGCATCCTGGAACACGCATACATGGTTTATATATCTCATTTAGCACTTTCTAATGTCCCACTACTGGGGGTGGGCCTCCTTTCAATACGAGGGGGATAAGGCCAAGGCCTACCACGCTGGCCAAGCGCGGTTTGGTGGACTTTTTTCTTACAAAGTCTTCTGAGACTGACTCAATAAATGTGTCAAAGGAGGTGAAGCTAAAGAGTTTATTTATTAAAACTATTTACGTAGTCTATACTAATATTACAAAGAGGCAACATTTTTTGTTTGTTTGTACTGAATAAGCTCCGAAACTACTGGACAGATTTAGATGAAGTTTTGTAAGAAGATAGTTTGAGACCCGTACCTACTTACTATATCTGAATATAATAAGTTTTTCATTTAATTCCCCATTTTAGAACAGGATGGATACCTTAGTGTAATAAGCGACGACAGCATGCCCGCCCTCGTGGGCGGCCGTGATGGCGTTGGCTTCGTCGTCGGGCAGGCGGGCGCGTCGCGCTGGCCCCATTAGCACCTTGTCACGGGCCTCCTCCAGGTGCAACATCGTCACTACGGAGGCGCCCTCTATTGCCGCTCTGTTGTAAACAATCAAATTCCAAAATCATTTTATTTGTAAATATTCTTGAGATATAAAGTAAAAGCAAAAAAAAATTAACTGACAAAAAAATATAATGGCCTCAAAATGATTTAATAGTAATGATTCTCACATAATATCTATATATGAAATAAAATTCTAACCGAGTCGAATCTGTACATTAAATATTTTCTGGTATATCTTATTGAAATAGTCATCACTATCGATACAGAGGCCGAATCTAGTTTTTAGAATTTTTGTCTGTCTGTCTGGGAACGGATCACGAGAAAACCACTGGACAGATTTAGATGAAATTTTTTATGATGATAGCTGGTTATCCGGGTCAACATATAGGATACTTTTTATTGCGGGAAAATATCTTATCTCCGAGAGATCTATACTAAACGTTAAAACGTCGCTAGTAATTTATATGGATTTAAAAATCGGTTTACTATTGACGAAGATAGTAATATACACACAGTAAATATAGTTCAAAATATATATAAAGAGGTACTTTAACAGAACTAGTTGAATAATTATTCAAATGTTTTTAGATCGAAATTTATCCAAAAGTAAAAAGCTGGAGTCTGGGGGTGGGAAAGGTACTCATTTAAGTACAGTTTGGTTTGACCATGCTCTTCGTGGGGCTATCGTGTGGAGCATTGTTAAGGTGTCGTGGGGCTATCGTTGAGGTATCCTACGTGTATCGTGGAGGTGTCAAGTGCTTAGTTGAGCGCAGCTTGGTTGACCACGCTCGTCGTGGGAGTGTCATGGGGCTATTGTAGACGTATTGTGAAAGTCTCGGCTGCACAACGGAGCGCAGCCTTGTTTACCACGCTCATCGTAGGGGTAGTATTGTGGAGTTGTACTTTGGAGGTATCGTGTTGGGTATCGTGGGGCAGTATTGTGGAGGTATCGTGGGACAGTATTGTGGAGGTATCGTGTGGCTGTCGTGGGGTAGTATTGTGAAGGTATTGTGGGATAGTATTGTGGAGGTATCGAGGTGGTCACTCACTTGAGGGCGGCCTGGTTCACCATGCTCTCCAGGTCGGCGCCGGTGAACCCGGTGGTGCCACGAGCGAGCGACTCCACGTCGAGGGCTGGCGCGGCCGCCACACGCGACACGTACATGCGCAGGATCTCCAACCGTCCAACGTAATCCGGCGTCGGGACTGACACCTGCGCAAATTAATTACTAATGTACATACGTATATATAGAATTAAACTAGACACACACACACACACACATATATATATATATATATATATTTCAAATGATACTTCGTTTGGGGCGTAAGGGAAAAAATGTAGGTGATTTTTTTACTCGGCAACAGATTTAGATTACAGTATGAAGTTAGTCGTTAAATCTCCCTTTAGTACAGTGTGAATTGATGTCTATATTCAAGATATTTATTCCGGTATTTCTATATACATAAGACGTGTTTATATGCAAAAATTTAAAAATTATTTTTAACATATTTATATTTTTTCTTAATTTGTTAACAATATATGTAGATGTTTTAATTTTATAATTAAAGTTTTATTTGTAAGGTGTATTTAATGTACTTTTTTTATTTTAATATTCTAAATGTTGTTGTTGCCTTTTCAAATCTGTATATTAAACATTTTTTGGAAAATGTTATAGAAATAGACATTATTGTCGATACAGAGGCTGATTCTATAGTTTTTTAGAATTTTTTGTTTTTTTTCTGTCTGTTACCGCATCACAGAAAAACTACTGAAGGGATTTTGATGAAATTTGTTATGGTCATAGCTGGTTATCCGGGTCAACATATAGGATACTTTTTACCGCGGAAAAATATCTCATTTCTGAGAAAACATACAAAAACTGCATTGTAATGTATACTAATATGTAAAACCTAAGAATTTAGTTTTTGGTCATCTGAACGCGGGCGGAGCCGCGGGCAATGCTAGTCACATATAATATGCTACTACTATATGTGTTGTTTCCTGTGTTTGTTATAAAGTGTTCAATATGTACTTTGTTGGTGGTCTAATAAATAAATAAATCGAATCAATGTCTTCAGTATTTTTTAACGTCCCACTGCGGGGGGTGGGTCTCCCTTCAATACGAGAGGGATCAGACCATAGTCCACCACGCTTGCTTAGTGCGGGCGGACTAAATACGCCTTTCCAAAACTGGATACGTTTTTGCGGACATGCAGATTCCCTCATGATTTTTCCTTTCACCGTAAGACAATGTTCGTAAAGATTCGCACATAAAAACATCAGAGGTGCGAGAACCGGGTTTTGAACTCACTTCACTCGGTTCCCCAAGCGAGTGCATTACCACCGGGATACCGCTGGTTTAATCAAATCAAAATAGATTTTCACAAGCACTACTGAAATGTCACTTTTTAACATTATTAAAATTTAAATTAAATATCAGTATGTAAGTCCTTGAAGAATCTACCACCAGCTCGGAAGGCAGTTTTGCTGAGACTACCCGGCGAGAAACTCAACATATATATATATATATATATATAATAGTTTTTTTCAGCTGTAACTGTCCCATTGCTGGGCAAAGGCCTATCTCAGCCAGCTAGTAGTAGGTCAGGTAGAACAAGTAAAATTCCATGTAACACAATTTTTATTATTTTATACAGAGTTAAAGTAAAGGCTCAAACGACATTACGAAAACGAATAACGTATTGCATAAAGCCATTAAACAAAACACAACGCTGCTCCCGCCCTTTCTCCACTCAAGATGACAACTTGAGAAACCAAATACAAGTATTTTATTTCAGAACGGCAACTTAAAGAATCAAATAATTAATTTACAATAACACATATAAATTCTTTTTGTTATATAATTAATAATTTATATTATTATAAGTGTAACATTCGGCCATCCTACGTAAGCCGTGCCACCACGATACACCTCACATTCTTCTCCTGTAAGATCAGTCTCCTGAAAAAAAAAAAACGCCAGCCACTTTATTTCATATTAGTACCTATATTCATGTATGCTTGTATTATAAATAGCGTAATATATTTGCGATAATAAGTATGTTGGTACATTAACGCACAGCACCATCTAGTTCCATGGTAAGCTACGAGGCTTGTGTTATGGATATCAGATAGTTGATACACTACACATATATAATTTTAAATACATACATATTATAAATATTGTTACACCCACGACTGGAGTACAAACATTCGTGCTCATCACACAAATGAATGCCTCCAGCGGGAATCGAACCCGTGACCGCTGGCACAGCAAGTAGGGTCACTAAAAACTATGCCAAACGTGCTGAAACCCTATTATTGGTTGATAATACTTTTGGGGCCCGATGTTTCGATTACTTTACAGTAATCATGGTCACGGGAGAGACTCTCTGTCACTTGTATTGACGAGTACATAAATATGTTGGGATATTAACCCACAGCACCATCTAGTTCAATGGTAATGGTACGAGGCCTGTGTTGTGGATACCAGATAGTTGATACCTAATACACTACACACCAGTAAGGTGAACTTTTTGGTAAGCTGTTCCAAAAAAAAAAACAACAGACAAAAAACATTGCAATACAATTTTTATATATCAATGCAAAAAAATATGAAATAACCTCATAATATATTAATAGTGCCATCTATGAAAAACCATTACGCATCGCTTAATAAGTGTAAGTACGGTAATTTAATTTTATTTTTTCCTTATTAAAAGTTTATTACAACCTATATTTTTTAGAATTGAAATATTCTTTTTTTTTGTTAATTTTATATAGATATATGTAATGAATATATTTAAACATGAATACCGCCATCTATTTACATCTCTTTGAACTACATCGACTTTCTTACTGATGAAATTCATTTATTATGTATGTTGTATTAAATTTATAAAGCAAATTTGAACGAAAATTATCAAATAAGTAGATACTCTAAACAAAAAATAACGAACGATGAGAATTAAGAAGCGCAGGCTTTATCTATACTAATATTATAAATAGGTCAAGTTTGTGAGTTTGTGACGTTGTAGAGGATGATCTCGGGAGCTACAGAACCGATTTAGATGAAATTTGGTAAGGAGATAGTTTCAGACCCTGAAAACGACATAGGATACTTTTTATCCTGGAAATCATCCCTTAAGGGGGTGAAAATAGGGATGAAAATTTACATCGGTAAGTAAATTAGGAACGAATCCGAGTGAGGCGAGAGTGAGTCGCTAGTTGATTACAATATCCTATAGCAATACGTCCTTTTTTTAACATATTAAAAATAACTTTAACATATTAAAAATAACTTTAACATATTAAAATTCACACTAAACTTAAATAGTAAGTTAAAATAAAAAGTTTTATGAATATATTAAAGTAACTCATTTCATGTAATAATTAAATCATATTTCAATTAAATGAGTATCTCGACGACATACTTTTTGTTTATTAAACAGCTAAGTTTAGATAACTAAAGTCAATAGTATGAAAGTTAATGCTATAATGGCTAATAAAACTCACCAAAATGAACAAATATGTATGTGCAACACACACATTCCACAAACAAACACAACACAAAATGTCTATATTACGTTAAAATCAAATTAAAACTCTATAAAACAAAAAATCTCATAAGCAATGCACTCGTAAACAATAACAATTCGCCATAATCTATAATATAAAAATGAATCGCTGAATGTGTTGGTAAGCGCAAATCTCGAGAGCAGCTGAACCGATTTCGCTTATTCTTTTTTTTAGAATATTTTTTGAAGTACGAGGAAGGTTCTTACGGAGAGAAAAATTTAAAAAATTGCCTGGAAAAAGTCTAAAAACAACACTTTTCTATACTACCATACAAAAAATTCGTAATAATACTTAAAAATCAATTTGAACTTTAATACCATACCATCAAGTTTAAGTGTTAGTGGAGAGGTTCCGGGAGGGCAAAACAATTGAGTGACGTTAGTATCGTATAAATATTTATGTCAATATTTTTCAATATTATTAACAGAAAAAATAAAAAATTTCTTATAGTATTTCATTTATTTAATTTATTTATATTATTTCATTCAAATGCAGTTTTGTAATTTCTGACCAATCACAAGCAGAATAAGCCGTTCAGAAGCGGCTTTTCGAGCGACAAAAAATTGATTAGTGCGCATGCGTAAAATAACACAATGTTTAATTCAAAAGTATGAATAAAACACAATTTCTCATGAACACGGTAAGTAAAAATACATCTTCTCGTCGCATTCCTATGAAGAAACGCGTAAGCAATTTGTAGCGCAAAAATATATTTTACGTTGCTTATGATTCTTTGCGTTATATTATTTTCAAAAATAGAGGTTCAGATGACCAAAAACCAAATTCTTAGGTTTTACATATTAGCATACTCTTACATTGCAGTTTTTGTATTTTTTCTCAGAAATGAGACGTTTTCCCGCAGTAAAAAGTATCCTTTATGTTGACCCGGATAACCAGCTATCGCCATACCAAATTTCATTAAAATCTCTCCAGTGGTTTTTCTGTGATGCGGTAACAGACAGACAGACAAAAATTCTAAAAACTATAGATTCTGCCTCTGTATCGATAATAATGTCTATTTCAATAAGATTTTCCAAAAAATATTTAATGTACAGATTCGACTTAGTTACAATTTTATTATACTAGCGGCTCACCCTCGCTTCGCTCGGGTTCGTCGCTAGGTACGTTTTAAATAGATATAAAAAGAAAAAATCTTTCTTTCTCACATTTTAATTATATGTTTTAATACTTACCTATTCCGGACTAAGAGAAATCCAAAAATTAAAATATCATAAAAATTGGAACGCGGTCGAACGGGATAAAAAGTATCCTATGTCCTTCTCCTGGCTCTAAACTACCTCCCTGCCAATTTTCAGCTAAATCGGTTCAGCCGTTCTTGAGTTATAAGCGAAGTAACTAACACGACTTTCTTTTATATATATAGATGTATAGATTAGAAATATATATTTATAATGAATGATGGATTATTGGATTTCTAAAAGGTAAGACGGTGGGAATCGTCTTGTATGGACCCTTCGCCATTGCTACAGACATATAACTTTAAATACATACATATTATAAATATAAACACCCATGACTGGAGTACAAATATTCGCGCTTATCACACAAATTGATGTGCCCAGCGGGACTCGAACCCGCGACCGCTGCCACAGCGTGTAGGGTCACTACAAACTGAGCCAAGCGTAGTCATGTAATAAAATATAAGGCAAAAAAATCACCTAGGAACGCACGAATAATTCGCTAGTATGCAATATTATGTAAGGCGTTTATATAATATTTTTTATATATGTATAATATAATAAAACTTTAAAAATGTAGGTTTCATACAAACTTTCATCCTCCTTTTTTATCCCCTTATGGGATGAGTTTCGATAAATGCTAAAACACGTATTTATTTAATTGTATTGAAGAGCATTAATACCAAGTTTCAAGTAATTCTGATCATAAATATTTGTTTGTGTTGTATTATAACGTATTTTCCCGTGGGAATGAGATAATCTCCCGCGGTAAAAAGTAGCCTATATCACTCTCCAGTCCTCCAACTATCTCCACACAAAAAAATCAAGCTAAACCGTCACTATGTTTCGGCGTGAAAGAAGGACAAACAAAGAAACAAACACACTTTCACAGTTATACTATTAATATGGATAGCAAACAGCTATATGTTGTATAACAATTACATTGTTTATAGCACACAGCTTTATATTATATACGCGCACAGCTTTATATTTTAGAACACACAGCATTATATTCTATATTCACACAGGTTTATATTATATACTCGCACAGCTTTATATTTTATATTAGCACATGTTTATATTATTATTATTTTTTTATTTATTAATCCTTTATTACACCAAAAATAAAAATACAATATAAATGAATACATATTATATACGCGTACAGCTTTATATTCTATATTCACAAGGGTTTATATTATATACTCGCACAGCTTTATATTATATATGCACACAGGTTTATATTTTAAAGCTATCAGCTTTATATTTTATATTCACACAGCTTTATATTCTATAGCACGCAGCTTTTGTCTGTAATAAATCTTATTATACAACTACAATAACGTGTATGTTTTTAATTTTGATTCCTTAGTTCTATCTAGACTGTAGTATCACACAGTTGTTTCACACAGACCTAGACCTAGATTAATCGTATTATTTTAAAAGTTGCAAGAATTACCTTGCAATATTTAGAAAAAAACACAAACTCGTGTCTCATCTTAATCTACAAGTGCACATAAACAATTTTATAGTAATACATATTTTAATTATTTTTATGATTTGTTCGTAATAAATTTTTAGTATATTTAAAATAAAGTACACGACTGTTAATGTAACGGGTGTAAAAAGGACGCATGCATACTCGTTACCTATATATATGTATATATGTATGTATTTCTTTATATATATATATATATATAATAAAATTCTAAGTAGAATATGTACATTAAATATTTTTTGTTAAATCTTATAGAAATAGTCATTTTTATTTTTGTCTGTCTGTCTGTCTGTCTGTCTAGGATCGCATCACTAGAAACCAATGGACTTATTTTGATGAAATTTAGTATGATGTATGATCATACATCATGTCAATATATAGGATGCTTTTTACTGTCGTAATATCTCATCTCTGAGAACTAGAGACGAACCCGAAAGGAGCGAGGATGACTCGCTAGTTAGTTATAATTTATTTAGTTAATAAATTAATTTGAGTACATCTGTGTTTATTCGCATCCCCTGACTTCCCCTAACGTAATAAACTCACTCCCTGGGTATATTTTAAAATATGATTCCTCACTGACAACATTTATCAAGTCAGACATAAATTATAGTATACTAGCGATTACCAATACAAACTTTCATCCCCATTTTCACCCCCTTAAGGGATGATTTCCGGGATACAAGGTATCTTATATCCTTCTCATGGTCTCTAGCTATCTTTTTATTAAATTTCGTCTAAATAGGTTCAGTAGATCCAGAGATTTCCCCTACAACCTCACAAGCTCACAAACTTTACCTCCTTATAATATTAGTATAGATAAGTGTATATATATGCAAGAATATATGTATTTATTTTTGTGTAATTGTAATAATAATGAACGTAAATGAATGAATGTTATGAAATAATGGCCAGAAAGGCCACGCCACGTGAGATATATCTCAGCCATAACGGCTCGATATGTTTATACTTCCCGTATTGATATAAGCTACTTTTGTATAAACATTAGCAGTACAATAATTATCAAGCCTTAGTTCGTAGAAACTAATCTATATATATATAATATTTACGTTTGTTGCAACACTTATAACTCGAGAACGGCTGGAACGATTTTTATGACCTTATTTTGTTAGATTATTCACTTGGAATAGCAGAATAACTATTATAACATCGAAAATTCACGAAAAAAAAAACATTGAAAAAAATCTATTCCATTCTAAGCGTCAAAACGTATCTAGGGACGAACATGAACATAATAAATAAAAATAAACATTCATCGCCTATCATGTCCGTTGAATTGTCCGCCAACCCGCACTTGGCCAGCGTGGTGGACTACGGCCTGATTCCCCTCGTACTGAAGGGAGGCCCACCCCCAGCTGTGGGACGTTAAAAAGGGCTGAATACATACATACATGTCCGTTGAATTACTTGAATATCTGTTATATAGCTGGGGCACAGATTGTTGCGTCATCCTGTTCGTAGTCGAAGGCTTCGTCGACATCCGTCAGAAGTCTTGAGATTCATGTCCAGTTTTACGACAGTTGTAACAAAGCCTTGTAAGACGTAAGGTGTTTGAAGTTTCTCATCGCATTTGTAGCATTTTCTCGTTGTCTCAGGATACATCGTTTTTTTTTAAATCTTATATTCATTTTAGTTACTCAAAAGAAATACATATGTTCTTATTATCTATGATGTTTGAAATGAATGTTTTGAACCCACTACCTTCGGGAACAAGACCAAGTCACCAAGATAATAAATATGTAATCACTAATCGGCCTATACCTAACGTAACCTTTGCGTAACGTTTAGGCCTTTTAATTCCATTTCAAAACATTTATCGAGAAAATTAAAATCACTTTTTTCCACTTGTAAGTGTTGAAAATTCAGACACTGATATAAGTTTGGTGATGAATAATAAACTTTTATACTTTTGGGAGGCTTTACGCGTTTTCACTTTCGTATGTTAAAGACATATAGACACCGTATCCCACTTCTGATATATTATTCGAGTATAAGTAGGTGAGGTAAGCCAAGTAAAATTCGGTGTAACAGGCAGAGCTCGGAACCGGTTTAAAAAAAACGGTTTATTATGGTTTATTTGGTGGTTGTGGTTGTGGTTAATTCATCGCGCGTTCTTTCACCGGTTAATGAAAACGAACGGTTTAATGAATCGAAATGATAATGGTTAACGGTTATTCTTAGAGAAAGGTTGGATTTCGGTTTTGACACCGAAATAAACCTAATTTTTAAAGTTAATTCATTAAGAAGTAAGAAACGTGCATACATCCAAATGTAAACGCAGAAAAACTCATTTTACCGGTTATTTTAACCGGTTAAAGAACGTAAACGAAACCTTAAACCGAACTTTTCGGTTTAGAGTCAATGACCAAAACCAAAACCAAATTGTTAGACAAATAAATATAAACATGTTTTTTTAATATTCAACAATTCATTTGTATATCCAATATAACCCCTAAAATAATAATGCAATCAGATTAAACTATAAAGTACTTAGTGTTCATAAGTAAAAGACACTTGGAACACAATACCTCAACATCAAATCTTCCGGGTCTCAGCAAGGCCTGGTCGAGGTCGTCTCTACGGTTGGTAGCTCCGAGGACTATAACTCCTTCATTTTGATGGAAGCCATCCATTTCGGAGAGAAGTTGGTTGATTGTCTGTAAAATATAATTAAAATATATATTTTTATGAATAAAAATCAAAATTTAAGCGAAGCCAGCCTATAAGCCTTTGTTTGTTTGTAACTAATAGGTTCCGAAATTACTGAACCGATTTAGATGCAATTTGGTAAGAAGATAGTTTGAGACTCTGGGAAGGACATAGGATCGTTTTTATCCTGGATATCAACCCTTACAGGGATGGAAATGGGGTGAAAGTTTGTATGGGGAAGTAACCTAAATAAAATAAATAAATACAACATAAAATAAATCACCTGATTGGCATAAGGATGTAACACACTGTTGGTCCGCTTTGCGCCGACAGAGTCTATTTCATCTATGAAGATGACGCATGGCGCTCGTTCCTTAGCCGCCTCTGAAATCCCATAAATAAACATTATAAATGCGAAAGCTTGTTTGGATTGATGTTTGTTACACAATCACGCCAGAACTGCGGAGCAGATCTGGATGAAAGGCCCAGAGATAGATTATAGTCCGGAATAAATAAAATAAAAAATTAAAATATGTCAGGACATTAACACACAACACCATCTAGTTCCATGGTAAGCTACGAGGCTTGTGTTATGAATCCCGGATAGTTGATACACTACACATATACAACTTTAAATACATACATATCATGAATATAAAACACCCATGACTGAAGTACAAAAATTCGTGCTCATCACAAAAATGAATGCCCCTAGCGGGACTCGAACCCGCGTACGCAGGCACAGTAAGTAATTACTGCAAATTGAGTCAAATGTGTCGTTTAAAGAAGCAAGGAACATTTATTTCAATATTTAATTTATCCATCCAGAGCTTCACGCTTGTGCTACTACCATTAGTTTTTGATATTAATTTTAAATTGGACCCAGTTATGCAAAAAATAGCCATGTGCGTAATAGTAGGTACCAACAGAGTTATAAGCATTTTATTATGAAAAATAAAATAATTATAAAAAATAAACAATACTTATATAAATATTGCTCAATTTTAAAATAACCAGAAAAACAAAACATAACCCAAGTGCAACTATCGACAGAAAAATGCTTATAACTCTGTTGGTACTTTTACGCACATGGCTGTTTTTTTGCATAACTGGGTCCAATTTCAAGACAGATCCAAGCTATATGACTAACTCAATGGTTAAAAACATTTTGGGTACAGAACTCTTTATTTTTTTTTATTTATTTACTGAAATGTTAGTACATATACAGCATTAAAAATAAAAACTAACTTCAAAAAAAACACTAAAAAGTAAAAAAAATAACTGATTGGTAGTTTTATAAGTATTTTAATAAAATATTCGCTTAGCCGTTTAAGTTAGTTGGATGCAAAGTTTCAAGTCAATATGACAATTAGAAGTAGGTAAAATTTTCTTTAGCTGTTTTTCCACCCTTAGGGGTGGTTTTTTTTTCAAATTTAAATGGGACTAAAGTAGAAGTATACACTTATATTAGTATATCAAGCAAAACCTAAATTGTCCAAATCGGTTAATAAATGACAGTTCTGAGGTAACAAACAAAAAAAAATACAGGCGATTCGATAGCCTCCTATCCTTCCTATCCTTTTTGAAGAAGTCGGTCGAAAAACAGATTTAAACAATAATAATTCCGGAAGTTAATAAACTGTGTCGCAATTATAAACACCCTTCACCAGCAAAATTACAGAAAAAAATGTGTAAATACATTCAAAAGATAAGCAAAATGAACATTTATAAAAACTAAAAAATAAAAACTGACTTCAAAAAACACTAAAAAGTAAAAATTAAGTGATTGGTAGTTTTCATTTACTACAGATACCTAATCAATATTTTCGAAGTCGGTGTGCTTTGAATTGTGTCGGCTCAGTTAGTGTTTTTAGTGTCGTTAGTGTTTTTTTTTGAAGTCGGTTTTTATTTTTTTTTATTTTTCTTTTTTCAGTGTAGACATTGTAGGCAAAGCAGAACGTATTTTAATAAAATATTCGCCTAAGCCGTTTAAGTTAGTTTGATGCTGACAAACTTAAATTCGCTTTTATAGTAACACTAAGAATTGTGGCTCTAAAATCCAATTTTAACGTATTGGGCTTGTTAAATCAAACAAAATAAGCCCAAACCCAAATTATCCACTATTAACCGTTAAAGAGTTCCACCTATCCACCTTTACCATCAGATCAGGTCGACGACACCGAACCACTGCACTATCAACGGAAATAGAAACACTTGCAAAGTTTCAAGTCAATATGACAATTAATAAAAAAAAAAGTAGGTAAAATTTTCATTAGCTATTCTTCCACCCTTAGGGGTGGTATTTTTATTCAAATTTAAATGGAACCAAACTGAAAGCCTACACCTTCAAACAAAACAAAAATTGTCCAAATCGGTTAATGAATGACAGAGTTCCAAGGTAATAAATATAAAAAAAATACAGCCAAATTGAAAACCACGTCCTTTTTCAAGAAATCGGTTGAAACACAGATTTAAACAAAAATAATTGCAGATGTTAATAGACTGCGTCGCAATTATTAACACCCTTCACCAGCAAAATTACAGAAAATAATATGCAAACACATTCAAAAGCTAAGTAAAATTAACAATTTATAAAAACAAAAAATTATAAACAAAATTTTTAGCTTTGCTGATCATTTTACAAAAATTTAAACTATATAAAGCAAAGCAAAAAAGGGAATAATCGACAGTAATAGATAGTAATATAATCATGTAATGGCTAAAAACAAACACAAATGACTCACTGAACAAATCCCGGACCCGTCTGGCTCCCTGACCAACCAGGATCTCATCGAACTCCGGTCCAGCTGCATGGAAGAAGGGCACCCTTGCCTCACCCGCTACGGCCCTTGCTAACAAAGTCTTGCCTGTCCCCGGAGGACCCACCAACAGCACTCCTTTTGGCAATTTCCCTCCGAGGGATGAAAACTTCTCTGGTGACTTGAGAAATTCCACCTGGTGATAGAAGTTTATTTATTTAAGGTAGCCAACAGAACACTTAAATCGTGCAAATCCTACATGTCTAAATTTTACAATTGATAAAGTTTGTTCTAATTAAAGGCTACCACGGCAAGCGAAAACATAAAGATTTACCGCGGGAAAATATCTCATTTCTGAGAAAAAATACATAAACTGCATTATTAGAGTATACTAATATGTAAAACCTAAGAATTTGGTTTTTGGTCATCTGAACGCGGGCGGAGCTGCGGGCAATGTTAGTTATTAAAATAAAAAATCCGACTGCATAAAAGCTAACTAAAAAGATGAAAGCAAGTTCTCGATGGAATATAGTATTATGGAGTCGGACACACACGTTTCATCCTTGCCGCGAGATGTACGTAGATTTGTATGATATAGCTTTTTAGTTTTTGCCAATTAGACATTTGAAGTTATATTTAGCATTTCTTATCCTAAATTACTTTTAAACAAAAATCAAGACGAATCTTACGACGTACGAATCATCAAAATCAGCCCACGCGTTTGGCCTCTAGAGTGCCATATAAGAACAAACATAGACTGATAAACACATTACCCTCCTTTAAGTCGCGCAGTCGGCTAAAAAATATACACGGTATACACAACTTATAACATCTGCTTTATTCATTGGATACGATTTTGATAGGCAATTTGTATGAGACTTTGAAAACTAGTACAGCAATAACTCACAACATCCTTCAACTCCTGCTTCGCTTCATCAGCTCCCTTCACATCGTCGAAGGTGACTGATATATCCTCAGGGTCGACCTCCACCTGGTTGCCGAGCTGGATCCTGCGCATGTTACCACATTTATACTGATTATACACTGATATTTCAATTTTACTAGGTGCTAAAATAAGTAATAATTGTAACATAATAATTTTATATAGTCTATGAAAACCATAAGCATATCTATCCCACGGGAACCGTACGTTTTTCCGGGATAAATAGTTAAGCCGTTCTGGCGTGATTGAGTAGCAAACATTCATCCATCCAAACTTTTGAATTTATAATATTATAATGGGATAGAATATAATAGACTATACATTGACATATCAAAAAGTACTAAATTTTAATTATTTTAAATAAATAAATATTGCTGACTTAATCATGATCAGACCTCCCGTCTCCCATCCCAACCGCCCTCTCGGTGCTTCCCAACTCCAGCCTGTTACTGAGAATTTCTTGACCAAAAAACCTAATAACTATACTTAACCCAACCTGGGGCTCAAACCCAGGACCTTCGAATCTACAGGCACTAGACTTAATAACAGTACTACAGTATAGACAGTTACCGGAAGACTGTTCCACTAACGGACGCCATGAGGCTGACGAAGATGGCCAAGAACAGAATTATTGTGAGCAGCTGTTGAACGAGCTTCAGGTATTTAGAGGCTTTGGTTCCTCTCACATTTTCTGGATGTGATCCTAAAATTAAAGACAATAGCCCATTTGAGATACATACACATTGTATACTTCAATTCCATTATCTTGTTAATGGCTTCAAATCGTGCCATTTGAGCACAGATTACGTCACCAATATCACGTTGAACAATATATACTTAATATAATGTGATAAAGCTGAAGGCATGCATATATATATATATATATATATATATATATATATATATATATATATATATAAACAACATAGACAACACGTTTGGCTCAGTTTATAGTTATCGTACTTGCTATGCCATAGGTCGCGGATTCAAGTCCCGCTGGGGGCATTCATTTGTGTGATGAGCACTAATTTTTGTACTCCAGTCATGGGTGTTTATATTTATAATATGTATGTATTTAAAGTTATATATGTGTAGTGTATCAACTATCTGGTATCCATAACACAAGCCTCGTAGCTCACCATGGAACCAGATAGTGCCGTGTATTATTTAAAAAAAAATCAAAATTGTTAAATGTAAAAATCATACAAACCTGCTAAATATCCTTCGGCAAATGCAATTTTAATCTTGTCCTTTTGCTGATGTGTAAGCACTGTGTCTTCATTGAGGAGCTTCTCCAATCTCGGGGCCACTTCAGGCCCTAGTGACTGCTTATCTGTACTTTCTTGAACGTTCAGACCTAAAAAAACAACAAGAATTGATAGATAATTTAATAGCATAATAAGCGACCAACCCTCACTTCGCTGGAATGAACGAGAATAAGATTAGAAATAAACAGTAATCTATGTCACTCTTCAGTCCTCCGTCTCCACACAAAAAAAAAAGTGTGTGTATACTCATTTGTACGCACGCTACGACTTATTATTTATTTGTAGTGCGCACATAAGAAATTATATACGTATTATATGTCGCTTTTTGGCTGTCGCTGTGCGCCCGCATCATTAAAATTTTACCCTTATATTTTTTTCCAAACGTACCAAAAGCACTATAACTTCAATAAGTCAATCCGTCGCTTTGTTTTGACGTGAAAGAATGAGAAACAGACATACATATTTTCACATATATAATATTAAATATAGATTTGTCATTCTTTCATGCAAATGTTAATCACTAAGCAGATTTTGATGACTTTATAGTAATATAGTGTATATAGCAGAGGAACAATACAAAAAAGAACAATGCATATGGAGCAACAGGAAAATGCTATTTATTCATGTATTTTAGGAATTATTTAAGGAGCTTAATATAAAACCAATAGAAATACATAAATATTACATGTTAATTTTGTATCAACAATATAAAATGAAGTATAATTCACATAATACTTTCTTAGATTTACGCGAATGTTTGACATTTTTAAATAAAACTATCTTTTCGGATTATTTCGCGGATTTATTTTGATTTTTGGTTCCCGACGTCTCGAATGCTTTACAGCATCCATGGTCTCTCCCGTGACCATGGATGCTGTAAAGCATTCGAAACTTCGGGAACCAAAAATCAAAATAAATCCGCGAAATAATCCGAAAAGATAGTTTTATTTAAGAAGTATAATTCACTTGTATTTTCTTAATACAATCGATGATTTTTTGCACAATCAGAGAAGAGGCAATTACAGTAATAAAATAATATTAAGATCAAAATTAATTCTAATTGATTGTGTGATATAGGCAGGCATATCAATAATTATTAATTTGAATATATAGTTTAAAGTTTACTGGTTTTGGAGAAATACATGTACATACATACATACACACACACTTACAAACAAATATACAAAATTTTATTGGTGCATACCAATAAAATTTTGTATATTTGTTTAGAATCCCTAATAGATCATCATATGTGAATATTTCGCAGTTCCAATAGTATTATATAAATAAAATAAAGCTTATATGTATAATGATTTAACTGAAATGAGAGTAAGGTTTTGTAAAATCAGATTGGGATGATTCTCAGTAGATTTAAGTACTATCCCCCCCAACGTGCGTTCACCTTGTCGTGATGGAGGGGCTCAGTAGTGAGTGGAGCGACCCCATGGTTGTTGTAGTCTACGTTGTTATAGTTGTAGTCTATGACGCCCCGACGGCAGGTTAGTTGTACCTACCGTCGAGGCGTCGTAAGATGCGTAAGCGACCCTGAGACGCCCCACCCAGAAGGGAGAGGTTCCTTTGGGTTTTAGTGAGAAGTACTGGATTTGCCGGTGAATCCCGCACTTCGTGCTTAAATGAGTTTCCCAATGTAAAAAAAATATATTTAAATACTATACCTTACATATATCTTAAATATACCTTATACATACCATAAAAAAATATTTAAGTACTATACCTTACATATACCTTAAGGGTATCCACACTGTGAAGTGATAAAGCGCATTAGCCAGAAGATTCCGAAAATACGGGTTCTAAAGTTTTACGCACAGCTTATATTATGTAATAGTAGATTTTCGCTCTGCGGCAGTCAAGCAAAGTGGCTAAGTGCTCAGTGTTCAGGGTTCTTGCACAGGCTATCTGAGCTCTATACCTCTTGAGGTAGTTTTTTTTTACTTTATAAAGTGACTGTTACAGCTAATTAAAATTTAATATTAAAGGTAATACTTAACTTTTGATAGAGAAAATGGAAAATAATAAAAAAATAAATTCCTGTGAAGACTGCATAAAAATACAGATACAATCTATAGTCCATCACCAACTATCATCATTTTAATGTGTGGATACCCTTAATGGACAGTTACTTATCTGCTGAGTTTTCATCCTGATCTGAATTTTCGAGACCATAAGATACCGTTGTGAATATTAGCAATTATTTTTTTGTACATATAATATTGACATTTCATTTTAGCTTTCAGATAGAACTATTCAGAGTAAGAAAAAAACAAGCAACAGCAAGCAAAGTCAACCGAAATTATTGTTTTTGTTAAATATAAATAAAGAAATAAATAAAAAAATGATAAAATGGGAGAAATTAGAGAATATTGAAGCATCCTTCATAACCATCCATACATATAAAGAGGTAAAGTTTGTGTGTTTGTGACGTTGTAAGGGTAATCTCTGGATCTACAGAACTGATTTAGATGAAATTTGGTAAGAAGATAGTTTGAAAACCTGGAAAGGACATAGGATACTTTCTATCCCGGAAATCATCCCTTAAGGGGATGAAAATGGGGATGAAAGTTTGTATGGGCAATCAACCTAGGGAGGCGAAGTGAGGGTGGGTCGCTAGTCGTTACTAATTACAAAAACATTAACAAAACAATCGCAAGTTATTATGGCCATTATAAGCTAATTATTCATAAATTCAGAAATATATGATGTAATGAAATACTTATATTATATTTATTTAAAATATAAAAATAAAGTTCTGTACATAGTAAGAATACATAATTTATAATATTATGCCGTATAGAAAGTTATCTTGTACATGATCTACATGCAGCTGGTGATTAATGGCATCCACACACCTTAATACTCATAAAAATACTGACCGAAAAACTTACGCAGTCTATTTATAAGGTTAGGGTTCCTCTTTAAATCTGCATGTATGCCTCGCTCCGTTTTAAAACCTCTCACTTGTACGTTATATTTGAATGAGTTTTCTTGTATACTTTTTGATAATAATCCAATAAAATTATCAGTAAAACTAAATTTAGTATGCTTGCCGCGAAGATCAACCGTCACTGTAGGTGTAGACCATCCATTTTTATTAAGTTCAAATGAATTTGACGATATATGTGACACTTTTTTTACCGAGTTTAGGTTTGGTATATCCTGTAAAATCGCTTTGGAAGTCCCGGCGAGGGACGTCACAGATCGTACGTCGATTTTGCACATCTCAGCTATAACATTCTTATCAAAATGACGTACAGCCTCCTCAAAACTCTCCGGGCAAATTGTTGCATCATAAATGACTGCTGAACTTTCTTTTCCTTTCAAATCATTGCTTTTTGCATTATTTTGCTTGCGTTGTCTAAATAAACTCGAGTACCGTGACGATAACTGACTAAAACTTATGAGAATCTGCAATAACAAAGGTTATAATGACAAAATATTGAAAACGATTTTCATGTTAGTACAATAATCAGTATATAAATACTACTTGCCTGGTTTTGTGAGTTAATCGAGTTCAATGAAAACATGTTACATGTATATGAAATATGTGTTTCTTCGTCTAAAAAGTGCACTCGAAAATTTTGTAGGTAAGCTTTTTTTCTTACAACCTTACGTCAATCTATAGAAATTAGAAAACATGGCGAAAATATATCGATATTTAGCACGATGTAAAAGGTATCGATTTAAGGGCAGTAAAAAATTAAAAAATATATTTGGCTACAATAATGAAGGCTTAATTATAATTTCATGTGATTTTTTGAAATTTAGAAGAGAAAATAATAAAAAACAAACACTAAGAACCAAAATATAAATCATACAGTACGTAATATATTATGTGTTGTGCTTATTAATTTCACTTTGTCATATGCAATCTATTCTTAAAAATTAAATATCATTGTTATTAACGACAAAGAACGAGTTTATCGAACGAAAAAAATATAATTATTAAAATCGATTAGCAGTATTTTAATGAATTCCGATTCGATCAACGCGTAATATATTTTAGATGACTGAACCGTGAACACCACTAATCAATAAATATCTATGGTTTAAAGTTAAGAAATAATAATTGTTTAAAATGCCATTTAATTCAATTAATAAAAAGGGTGTCGCAAGGCATTTAAAGTTACTAGAATTACTAATCGCGCTATAGCTTTTTTTAGTAAAAATATGTTTTCATGACTTTATATTTTGTGCTTCGGAACGTAAGCTATTTAATTATAGTCTACTTTGTCTATGGTTTATTTGGACAGTAAATTCCAAAATGGCGACGAGCGATGACGAGCCTATGCATTTATATGAAGTTTTTCAAAACTGTTTTAATAAAATAGCAAATAAACAACAAGGTGAGTGAAAAAATGCATACCGTGGCTGGTCGCGCGTTCCTCAAACGAACTATTACGGTTAAGTGCAGTGTTTCATTGTGAAATTCAGTCGAAGTGTTTGCGTGTTATGCCATATTCAGTGTAGTAGCGGAGCAGCATTTTTACAAAATTCGACAAAAACCGACGTTTTGGTTTGTCTAAGCCCGTTTCTTTTAATTTTTATATACATTACACGAAAACTGAAGGGTATTCTATTACTTCATTATTGCGATAAAAGCTTACAAAGACTATGTTTTGGTTAGGTAGACGATTGTCAAATGTGCTGTCCATTGTGCTCCTGTTGGCTTGATGCGAAGTAATTATTTTCAGGCTTGTATATTTATATAAACCTACTGCAGCGGTAGCCAGGTAATTTTTCAGCAATAAGTACTGAAAACTGATGCATATTAAAAAAATCGCACTTCACAATGGCGATAAAGGGAAGCATCAGTATATTTTTTATACACTTCGAAGCCTAAGACGCGTTGAGCAGGATACCGAAAGCTGCGTGTCGCGATCCGATTTAGATCGCAAATTACCGTTTTTATGTTCTCTTTACGCTTATGTTTACAATTAGAATTTGTTTATTTACACGAGTACCGCGCTCGGCGTATTAGGACGTACTATTGTATGTGCATAGTCTATTTGTACACTGTTTCTAAAAAGTTTTAATATAAACAATTATTATATTTCTTATAAATGAAAAATTGAACTTTTAATGCTTGGTCTATATATTGGTATATATTTTTTTTAAATTGCAGTTTATTATGTATTAAAATATTTATATATACAGGGCGGAACAAATGGATGGGATGTGGAAGAAAAGTACCTTAAATATTGATGTTAAGTTTTACTCAAATAAAACATTCCTTTATTTTAAAAAATAACAATAACAGTATTTAATTTAAAAAAAAAGTTTACATGAACCGGTGCCCGAACCCACTAAAAATTGAGTGAAAGACACAATCATTATTTTGTCGAACTAACTGATAGAATCTATGGGAAGGATAAAATCTCTCAAATAAATATATTATAATATCTATCTCAAATAAATATATTATAATACTATGGCTATCGGTTAACTTCGATAAAATACTGACGGTTCATTTTATTGTATTTGAAGTCGGTTTGATTACCTGTCCAGGTTTTCTTTTTAATTAAATGCCATTACTATTATTATTTAAAAAAAAAGCAATATTTCCTTTGACTGAAACTTGATATCTTCAATATTTGAGGTACTTTTCTTTCATGTCCCATCCATTTGTTCCATCCTATATATTTTTTCAATTGTATTAAATCTGTAATTTAATAATTTAAAGTCAATGCTCAATCACTTTTGTGTAAATATTTTTAAAATATAAACGATTATCTGTCACTTTCATGAAAATTAAGATGTTAATTATAGAACACACAGTTGCACTTATTATATTTAACACTGATATATACTTATAACAATACAAAATGCCTTATATTATTATATTACACAACGCTGCAAAAACAAAAATTGTCTGTCCTAACATTTATTTTATGATTTTTCTGTAAAGGAAAAATACCCATATTCCTTAAAAATTTGCGTTTGTGGTAGTTGTGATAAAAGATAAATCTTTTTTCTCGACTCGTCACATTAGGTAAAAAAATATTCAATAGTTTTTAAAAATACCGCGAAAAAATAAAGATGGCGTAACTGAAAACAACATGGGCATATTCAGAAGAACAAGGAGAATGTTTTCATCAAGACATCATAGACTTTGGACATCGTTATCAGGGCCAATACAACGGAAATATGATGGGGTCTATATTTGGGGCTTTGTGAGAGAAAGTACTTATAAAAACATAAAAGAAAAAGTATTAGGTTTCATTTTTAAACTTTTTTCTACAATTTTGTAATTATTTGTATTTTTTTAATTTGATATGATATTAAAAGTTGATAAAAAATTATATTTAAATATATTTATTTCAATTTATTTATAAATAAAAATTTTAACTATGGATTTTGTAAAATATTGATCTACCGTTCTCTTAAATACAAAAGCAAACTTTACTTTCAGGTCATATATTATTTTTTGTCTAAGTTATCTATAAATCTATTGAAATTTCATACTTTTTTAACAAAGTCAAAGTTCGTGATGACCTATGTTATTTATAGATACCCAATATATTTTTTTTAGGAGTTATGTCGAAATGAAAGCTATTTTTCTAATACGGTATTAATTATTATGTTAATATGTGATACTTATTTCATTAAATTTTACTATTAAGGTTATAAATTAAAATTATTGCTATTATATATTTTGGAACTTATTGCTTAATTTGATGTTTTATTCTTTATGAAAGCTGCAAACTGTTTTCGTAAATATATTTTTTTGAATATATACCTACTTGGTTAAGGTTAAAGATATATGAGCATATTGAAATGTTAACACTATAAGTAAATCTTTATTACCTATACATATAAATAAAATTGGAGTGAAGAAGTGACTGTTTGTAATATCATAATAACAGCTTTTTACTAAATGCATATAAAATTACATATACAATGCTTATAAGAAAAACACAATTTATGAAATTTTTGTCTGTCGATCCGTTTGTTAATGTTCTGGCTAATCTCCGAACGGCTGGACAGATTTTAATGGGACTTTCACAGCCAGATAGGTGATGTAATAAGGATTAATTTAGGCTACTTTTATTTTAGAAAAATAATTAAGGTTCCTAAAAAAATGCACCTGAGGTAAGTCACTTGTAACTTAATATGTCTTTCAAATTAAGTTATATACATCATTTATAAATATATAATTAATAAAAATAATTTTTTATCCCGCTGTTGGTTACTCCATATGGAGATGCAGCAAGTAATATTGTATATTTGTCATATTAAGATCAAGGCTGACGTTCATTGGCGCAATGGAATCTATTAACTGTCATATCAATGCTATATTGATTGGTCGAGGATGTTCTATCAAATTCATAAATGCAAATTTATAAATATTATATATATATGCATACATATATACATGCAAAGTTAAAACTAGTAGAATTCTTAGGATTCAAACCAGTAGCTGTGAAAAGAACTCGTTTAAAAAAAAAAGTTTTATACATTTTTCTTTTGCATTGCAACTTAATATTTCAGATTAGCCCAATTTTGATAATTTTACATATAAATTCTGATAATAACAGAAATATGATATCTGTATATATAATAAAGTATATAGTTCATGGGTGTAGTTGATTTTCCTGAGTACTGATCCTTTAACATTTATATCAAACCAAATAAATGAAATTTTGTTATATTATTCATATTATAATATTGTCTTTGCTGTGTTTAAAAATAATTTCTCAGCAGGCTACTACTTTTTTATCGATTATTTAGTGGCCATTCATTACGTAAGAATTTTTTGACCCCCCTTGACGTAAAATTACGTAATTTATTTAAAATATTAAGTAGGAATTCAGCACCCACCAAGCCCCCCTCCCCTCCCGAGATAGGAATGTATATATTTTGAGAACTCCCTACCCCTTCCTCCTCCCTCTCCCCTCCCTCCCCCATCAGGACCCTTACGTAATCAATGTATGGCCCCATACTCATACATTGAACTTGGTACTTTATTTTATTTATAATATACCAGCAGAACCCGCGGCTTCGCTCGCGCTAAAACTACTACAAAAATATCTGTAAAAAGGTAGGTTTTCATGCAAATTTTTATCCTCTATTTTACCCCTTTATAGGATGAATTTCGAAAAATTGAGTATTAATACTAAGTTTCAAGTAATTCTGATCACAAATATTTTTTAGATTTTTATTATAGCGTGTTTTCCCGTGGGAATAATATAATCTCCCGCGGTAAAAAGTAGCCTATGTCACTCTCCAGCCCTCCAACTATCTCCAAACAAAAAAGTACGGCAATTCGTCACTCTGTTTCAACTTGAAAGAAGGACAGGACAAACAAACACACTTTCACATGCATAATATTAGTATGGATTATATACAGATAATACAAATTAATTGGCTGAAGAAGTATAGAGCAAAGTCAATATATATGAAGCTTTGCTTACTAACCTTACGGGTTCATATTATGTGGGGCAAAAATATGACACGGTAATAGCATAACATCAGAATAAATTTTTTAACAAATATGTTGACTAAAGTAAGAAATAAAAGTTTTCAGTTTTATTATATTTAATACACCTGTGTCAATATTGAAACGAGATGTTTTTGTATGATATAGTAGTCAGTAGTTGCCAAAAATGCATTCTCATAACCTAACTAGGTAGGATTTTAATAATACTTACCCGTAGTAACTTTAACAATTGATATATTTTTTTAATAGACTTTGGTTATAGAGTATTTTTTTTTAGAATATATCTTTATTGACACAATTCTTTGTTTTTACATAAGCCTGTTGAAGCCTCTGACTCCCAAACTAGAACAAACCTGTATGTCAGGAGTCAGCGCCCTCTTCCATCTTTCATCATAATTTGTGATCAATAATATTACAGAGCATATTTAACAGTAATAATTTTAGAAACTGTTTCTGAAAGAAGAAAATAAAAATAAAAATTAACTTTAACAAAAATGTAAGTACTAAGTGAAGAGACAAAGTATGCATAGAGAATTATATTTCACAGATTAAATATTATATTTTTACATCACAACCCAACTAATAACTATTTATTTACCCATGTTTTGCTTTACACTATAACATTTTTCACCATGTATATATTTTTTTTTAATTTCTATCATGATGGCTTTTATTTATCTATCATTTGTTCACTTGACTATATTATACTAGAAGAACTCGCGGTTTCGCTCGCGCTAAATCTACAACTAGACCTCTAGAAATTTAGGTTTCATACAAACTTTCATCCCCTATTTTACCCTCTTATAGGATGAATTTAGAAAAAGCTAAAACACGTATTTATTTAATTTTATTGAAGAGTATTATGTAATACCAAGTTTCAAGTAATTTTGATCATAATTAGTTTTT